AGTCATAATGAATATAAACCAAAAATTCCTAATCCGATTTAATCTGGTCGCATTTGGAATGGCTCAACGCGTCGCGGTCGCGCTGCTAAAAGTCGTTTCTAGTCGGGTGCATTTTTAACCGACGGCCAGCATAGCCGTTCCCAGTGCGCCTTGGATATTTCCCGTTTAAAAATCGACTTTACAAGTCGGGTCTCCGTGGAGCACAATTTCTCAACTTTTTCAGCCCCCTCAGACAACTTTTCGGCCTTTTTTCTGTAGTCTCAATCCTCTTGGGCCAAATTTTCTCATTCTTTCTTCCTAGTTCACTTTTTCATGCACCCCAGTTTCCGTTTAAAAGGTTCAACAAATTGAAACAAGGCCTTTAAAATACCCAGTTTCATTTTTTGAAAAAAAGAAAAAAGGAAAATACGAACCATCGACAACGTAGCTGTGGTCGCCGAGCCGGAATTTGAGCCGTTTCGTTTGGGCGCTTGTCGAGGCTCAAATTATTGAAATTATTGAGACTATGTCACAATGTTCTACATAGAAATGTTTAAATATATGGAAAATATCTTCAAAAAAAGTAGAATTACATTGTAAAATCATAAAATACAATCCCCGTTTCATTTGAAAAACAAAATTCGCGGAAAGGAAACATTTTTCGGTATGCATATCAGCACGACAGTTGTTTTACGGTTTAAAAACATGAATTTCTAGAAAATATCTAATTATCAGATTGTATCTTCTGGGAAGTTTCTCAATAAAGGAAATATCACTAAAGCTTGTCCTACTACTTTCTGGCAAGTAAAAACCCGTTATATAGCCTATGTACCACGGCTCGAAATTTCACGGAACGACATTCCGATGTGCCGCTGCGTGCGTTTGCGAACCTTGGCCGGGCTTTTTAATTTAAAATTTTAATTTTTTCGCGAATTTTTTAAAAACATTTTTTTGTTTTTTTGATTACGTACTCTAATTTCATGTGCTTCCATAGCAATAACAATAAATTGAAAACGTGACCTAGATTCGAAAGACGCTTCGCGAACGCACGCAGCGGAACAGCGGAATGTCGTTCCGTGAAATTACAAGTCGTGGTATGCGAAATTCTCTCTTTTCGACTTTTTTCTAAGCGTTTCAAAGCAAAAGCGCAAAAAAAGCTCTGGTTACGGTAGCTTTTTTTGTGGTGTGTTTTTAAAAAGTGACCACCTTGTGCCGGCCACATTGAATTTTTCCTAGTGAAGTTAAAATCGTGCCAAACTTTATGATAAAATGTATAAAATTTTAGCTTTTCAATATCATTATTCTCCATCTCTTTCTTCTCAATGAAAAAAAACTAACCACGATTGATCGGACGACTCATGGCGTTGAAGATGAACGCCTTGACGTGGTCGGCGACATTTCCTGTCCCTGGAATACTCGGAAGACGCAAAAGCTGAAAAATAGCCCCTGAAAGACCTCAAGGGGTCACTTAAGAGAAAAAGGACATTCCGAGGAGCTTCTGACCTTTTTTGGAGCTCAAAAATAAGCTCGAGACTTTGTTTTGAACCGATTGGACTTTTGGTTTTTTTTCCAGGACTTCAAAGGGTGAAAAAAGGGCGCAAAAAGGGAGCATAACGGGACCTTTACAGAAACTTCTTGGGACCTTGCCAGTGTCAGAAAAAAGCCGCTGAAAAGGTTCCAAGCCTCACGGGAAAGACCAGAAAGGCCTAAAAAGAGCCTCTGAAAGGCCTCAAGGGGTCACTTAAGAGAAAGGGGAAAAAGGAGATTTCGAGGGACTCTTGACACCTTTCAGGGACTAAAAAAGAGCTCTAGACAGGCCGTATGGACTTCTGATTTTTTCCAGGACTTGAAAGGGTGAAAAAAGGGCGCAAAAGGGAGCAAAACGAGACCTTTACAGGAACTTCTTGGAACCTTGCCAGTGGCAGAAAAAATACCGCTGAAATGGCTTTCAGCTCCACGGGTAAAGACCAGAAAGACCTGAAAAGAGCCTCTGAAAGGCCTCAAGGGGTCACTTAAGAAAAAAAGGAAATTCCGAGGAACTTCTGATTTTTTTTGGAACTCAAAAAGGAGCTCTAGACTCTGATTTTTGGGGCCGTTTGGACTTCACCCGTGCTTCCGATTTTTCCAAGACTTCAAAGGGTGAAGAAAGGGCGCAAAAAGGGAGCAAAACGGGACCTTTTCCACCTTTTCAGAAGGTCCGTGGCAGAAAAAAACGGCTGAAAAAGGAAAAGACGGCCGTCTGAGTGCCTCCTCCACACGGGCGGCTCTTTTCGTCTTCGTTTAGACTACGCCTCAAGGGCTTCTCCTTGATGACATTCATGTCAGGCGAACCTTCTTCAGGCAAATTATGTCGCCCTAAAAATATACTGACAAGTTTCGTCGGTTGAACTTGCGATGATCTTACTTCAGGATCCGAAAAATCTCAGGATTTGTTCTTGAGAAGCTAAAAAAAAGTTTATTTTTTCAATGTTTTATCAAGTTAGTGAGCTTTGAAGCGTCATGAATCGACTATACTGGGAAAATTTTTAGGGGCCACTTTAGGGTTTTGGAGTTTTAGTGGCCACTATAGTAGACAAATTAGTGGCTACTTAAGGGGTTGAAAACTAGTGGCCACTATAGAGGTCTAAGTGCTACTACTAGACCACTGAAAATTTTTGTGGCCACTTTAGGGGCCAATGGATCAACATAACTGGTCCAATCTGTTTGTTTTAAAATTATCAGAGTTACTGGAAGGAATACTATATAAAAAACTACTGAAGGGGCCACTATAGGGGTGGGTTTAGTGGCCACTTAAGTGTCCTCTCCAAGTAGTCCTTGGCGAGCCTCTATAGTGGCCACTAAAAATTTTCCCAGTAAAGCTGTAAAAATAGCGAAATTTCTTCTTGTTTAAAAATGAAAAAATCCTACTGTATGCTTGAAAATTTAACCTTTTCAGAAAATTTCCAAAAACTTCTTTTACGAAAAAACGATGGTCTGGCTAAAACCTATAGGTTTTTTAAATTTTAGAATTCAAAAAAAAGCTATAGCCGATTAAATAAGAGTCTGACGTGTCTGCGTCCTCTTATCTCTCACCGGAAAGGTCATAGAGACTTGGAAAACTCTCTAAACAAGAGAAAAGAGGGCGCAGACAGGTCAGACTGTTTTAAGAAGCAGCGAATGAGTTATATGAAAAAAAAAACCAGAAAAATCCTTTTTTAAAAAAAATAACGTTTTTTTATTGATTTTATTGATTGATTTCCTTCAATTCCAAAAAAACCCCAGTTTAAAAAAAGAAAAAGGTAAGTTGTCTTTAAAGGCTGGAAAAACACATTCAACAAAAAAATGATGATTATTTGTTTAAATAATTGAAAAAAACATGAAATTTTATTGGACTTATCTTTTTGAATCGGCAATCTCTTTTTTTCGTTTCCTCAATCGCAAACTTGAGATACTTGATTTGAAAAAAATGTTTAAATTTTTAGCAAAAAAATTCTTTCAAAGTTGAGTATCTCTATCAAAAAAACTATATTTAAGACGATGCGAAAAAAAGCTCCAAAAAAAGACGCGTAATTTTTGGGAAACGAGCCCATGTCAATCAAGCCTAAACTCCATTAAAAATGAAATTCTTTCTATTTATTCTTTCTCACAAGAAAAAACACACTTCCTTTATTTGAAAAGCTTCTTTTTCTCTTCTAGAATGTCCTAAACGGATAGCCCTCAAATCTGCCCTCGGGCCCATTTTCCGTCCCCCAAAAAGGCAATTTGTCGTGCAATCTTATTTTTTTGTGGGACAAGTTTGCTTCGGCAAAAAGTTTCCGGATTTATTTTTTCGGAAAGTTGTAAAAAATCAACAATGATGAACAAAAATTCAACAAAAAAGTACAGAAACTCTCGAATTGGTATGAGCTCGAAAAGTTCAAAAGATGGGGACAAAATGAAAATAATGAGAAAATAGAGAGTTCCTTGATTTTTTTTTCAAATAGTTTAACTTGAAATACGCCTTGGTTGCATTTGGAATGACTCAACGCGTCGCGGTCGCGTTGCGGCTAAATCTAACGTTTTCTGATGCAACAAAGCGAAAGCCGTTTCTGGTCCGGCGCACGTTGAAAACCTTCGCAGTTGAGTCATTCCACGTGAAATTACGACATTTCAAGCAAATTTATTCAGTACCTTCCACGAAATTTTCTGACCTGTCTGCGCTCTCTTTTCCCTCACTGCTAAAGTCCCGAGAGCTTGAAAATAGCAGGAGAAATGAGAGGGCGCAGAGAAATCAGAAAGTTTCCAGCTGTGGGGCATAGTTAACCAGGAACATTGATAATTAAGATATTTTTTGAAAAAAAAATAATGAAAAATCCAAAATTTTTTGAAATGAGGTTACCCATGCATAATTCTTCCATGCGAAATAGGGATGAAACGAAAAAAAAAAACTAATAAAATTGTCCAAAAATCGTCTTAACTTCAGGAATCGCTTGAGGGACCACTAGATTTAATAACAAAAACCCAAAATTCAGATTTATTCTGAAAATCCAACAAAAATTGATTTTCAGGTGAAAATCTTCGAAAAAAAGAGAAAATTCGTCGAAAACCGCCTGGCCTTCGGAAATTACTTGAGGGGTCACTAGAGTTTTTGAAAAATTCTCAAATTTTCTCATTTTTCCAGTTTTTCAACAAAAAAGCTTTGAAATGAGCTGAGCCACGCAGAATAAAACCCGAAAAACGAAGAAATTCATAAAATAATAGCCTAGACCTCGGAAATTGCTTGAGGGGCCACTAGAGCTCAGAAAAGTTTCGAATTATCAAAATTTTCCAAAACATTTCAACAAAAAAGCTTCAAAATGAGTTAAGCAATGCAGAGTAACACCCGAAAACACAAAATTCATGGGATAATCGTCTAGACCTCGGAAATCGCTTGAGGGTCCACTAGAGCTCAAAAAAAGTTTTGAATTTTTCTATTTCTCCAATTTTTCTACAAAAAAGCTTCGAAATGAGCTGAGCCATGCACAATATCACCCGAAAAAAAACAAAATTCATGGAATAATCGTCTAGACCTCGGAAATTGCTTGAGGGGCCGTTTCTGCAAGCGGCGCACACTTTTCTGGTGGGATCAATGTGCCGCGGATGAACATCGGCAGGACGCGTTTGATGCGGGGCTTTTTGCCGCGAAGCGCCGGTCGTTGCCGCATTCCGTCGGCGAACAGCGTGAAAAGTCGGTCGCCGAGGATGAAACGGAACGTCGTCCCTTTTTTGGGGATCACTGAAGGTACGAAAATTTCATTTTTCCGTCCAAAAAGTCTAAAAAATCCGAAAAATCTCTTTTTCAGAACTTGGCGGACTTCCGAAATATGTGGGAATCGAATCAAAACCTTCCAATCTTCATCAAAAATGAATTGGAATTGAAAAAACAGGTCGTTGCAAGGTCATTTTTTTTTTTTTTTGACAACCAGATTTTTATTAATTCGGACATCAAAGCTTCAAATGGACTACTTAGGAACGCCAGAGTGGTCCCTAGAGAGGCTCTGAAAGGTTGCCCTAGGGACAACTTTACCTCCCCCTATAGAGGGCTTTAAAGCTTGCAAAAAGTGGTCACTCTAGGGTAACATGATAGTGTCCTTAACGTGTATGTAACTTTCCAACTATGAAAAAAAAAATCAAAATAGCACTCAAAAAAAAAAATAAATAAATAAAACTTCCCTGTAGGGACCACTTGAGCTTTAGATGCTTAGGTCTCCGACCCCAAATCCCTAAAGGAACCACTTGAACTTAAGCCCCTTAGGGAGAACTATCCTTTCCCCTATAGTGGGTGATTTTCCCGTAACCCCTCTAGGGAGCACTCCTAAGAAGGTAATTAACCTTCCCCTTCTGGAGTACTAAAGCTTGAAAAAGAGGTCATTCTAGGGGAATTAAATAGTGGTCCATTTAGGGTAATAGGCTAGTGTCCCTAACGTTTTTTGAACTTGCACACCATGAAAAAAAATTGAAAGACCACTGTAGGGACTACTTGAGCTTTAGGGGCTTAGCTCTCCGACCCCAAATCCCTAAAGGGACCATTTGAACTTAAGCCCCTTCGGGAGGGACATCCTAATCCCCTCTAGGGACTACTCTGGGCTTTCTGAGAGGGTAATCAACCTTCCCCTGTCCGAGGGGTCACTTTAGGGGGAGCACGTCAGAATTCCTCATGCATCAAAACATAAAAAAACCTGAAAAATCACTATAGGGACCACCTAAATTTAACCCCTCTAGGGAGCACTTCTTTGTCCCCTATACGGGCTTTCTTGCCTAACCCCTCTAGGGACTACTCTGGCCTTTCTGAGAAGGTAATCAACATTTCCCTGTAGCTTTACAAGGGGCCACTTTAGGGGGAGCACGCTAGACTTCCTCAAATCATAACAAAGACTGAAATATCCCTATAGGGACCACTTAAACTTTAGCCCTATATGGGCTGTTTTTCTCCCTAATCCCTCTAGGGATCACTCTGGGGCTCCTAAAAAGGATTTAACCTTCCCCTGTAGCTTTAAAAGGGGCCACTTTAGGGGGAGAAGGCTAGAATTCCTCTTTCATAACAAAGACTGAAATATCACTATAGGGACCTCTTAAACTTTAGCCCTATAGTGGTTGTTCTCCCCATAACCCCTCTAGTGATCACTGTGGCTTTCCCTAAAAGGTACCTAAACTGCCCCTGCAACTTTGCAAGAGGCCACTTTAGGGTGAGCACGCTAGAATTCCTCTTTCATAACAAAGACTGAAATATCCCTATATGGACCACCTAAATTTAACCCCTCTAGGGATCACTCTGGCGCTCCTAAGAAGTTAATTCACGTTTCCCTGTAGATTTACAAGGGGGCACTTTAGGGGGAGCACTCTAGAATTCCTCTTGCATAATAAAGACTGAACTATCCCTATAGGGAACTCTTAAACTTCAGCCCTATAGTGGCTGATTTTCCCTTAAACCCTCTAGGGACTACTCTGGCGTGAAAAGAATTCCTCACCAACAAATCGATCCTGAATAGTGACCAGCTGAAACGTGTATCTCGTCTCCAGAACCACGATTCCACTGATTCCGATCTGGAATCTCCCGATTTTCGCCCTAAGATCGCCCGTTTTTCTCCCTACTTGCGTCGGATTTTCGGCTCCCCAGACGGTCAGAACGGCGCCGTGATAATCGGCCTTCAGAATCCGTTTGTCGTGTTTTTTGGCGTTGAAATTGTTGCCGAGCTGCTGTCGATAGTACTTTTGCCAAGTCGTGTTCAGCCCGACAAAGTCGGCGAATCTTTAAAAAAAATCAAAATTCTAAGAAAAATTGTATAAGACCTTCAAAAATATAAAAAAAAAACGTCTAACACGAAATCTATATTTATGAAAAAAATTAAAAGAAGTTCATTAAACTTGATTTTTTTTTGTTTTTATCAGTCGAAAAAAAGATTTTTTTATATTTTCATATTTCTTCGATTTCTTGACAAAAGAAAAAAAAGCTGAGGGAAAAAAATAAGATTTTCAAAAAAATAAAAGTATTTTTCCGCTGAAATTTACAATATTTTTGTGAGAAAAAAATCCTAGAATTTGGAATTATATGAACTTTTTTTACTTCAGAGAAGGTTTTTTTAAATATTTTTTTACTTGGATTTCTCAAAAAAATAAGCTGAGAAAAAAATTTCAAGCCGGAATTTATAATTTCAGGACCTGAAAAAAATGCTTTGAAATTAAATCTAAAGTACTTTTTTTCTTCAGGCGAGCTTTTTTTATTTAGATAGTTTACTTTTTATTTTCAAAATTTCCAATAGATTTGTAAAATACGTACAGTTTTTAAAGAGCAGAAAACAATGAACTATATAAATTTAAGAGATTACTGACAAAAAAAAAAATTTTTCTGTGTTTTTTTCGACTAATTTTATTCAAAATGAAATCAAAATATTTTTTCTACAAGATTTAAATAATTAAAGAAAGAATGAAATAAAAAAAGACCACAAACTTCATATTTTTCTTGTCCTCCTCGGTGAGCTTGGTCCGGTTTTCGTTGAGTTTCTTCTGCCGTCGCGGATTTCTCTTGTGCTTGAAACTTTTCTCCAAATAAACGACACCCATTCTGTCTTTGTCTGGAAATTAGGGCAAACTGGGAAAATTTCTAGTGGCCACTATAGGGTTTTGACGTTTTAGTGGCCATTATAGAAGTCAAATTAGTGGTCACTTGAGGGGTTAAAATTTAGTGGCCACTATAGAGGTCTAAGTGCTACTACTAGACCACTAAAAATTTAAGTGGCCACTTTAGGGGTCAATGGATCAACAAAACTGGTCCGATCTGTTTGTTTTAAAATTATCAGAGTTACTGGAAGGAATACTGGATGAAAAACTACTCAAGTGGTCACTAAAACGGAAAGCAGTGGCCCCTTTAGTGTCCTGTTCAAGTAGTCCTTGACAAACCACTATAGCGGCCACTGAACTCTCCCAGAAAAACACAAACTTCACTTCAGAAACACATTTTTTTAAACTGACGAGGTTTCCGTTTCAAGCGAAACATTTATATTGTGATATGCTCTAGTTTTGATAACAAACACTGGTACGCTGAAAAAAATTCGATCGCTTTTTTGTGAAGCTTATTTTTTCAAGTTTTCGAATTTTTTTTTAATTTGCTGGGCTTATAGAGGTGTTAACGGATTTAAAGTACCTATTTCTTTTTTTAATATAACCAATTTTGATGTCAGTTTTTCAAAAAAATCTCAAATTTTTTTCAAAAAAATCAAAAAAATTTTCAAAAAAAAATTTTTTTGGAATTGTCTTTTTTTCGCCAAAAAAAGAATGCTATTAAATCTTAATAAAGACTATTTCGCACTTGTAATAATTCGATTTCAGGTGAAATTGAATAAATTCACCTAAATTTCGAAAAAAATTACAAAAATTTCCTATTTTAAGCCGCTAATATTTGGTTTTTTTCTAGACTTAAAAACTTACCGAAATCGAGAATCCTACACATTTTGGACACTAAAACAATTCAAAAACTTAGAAAAATTTCAAAATATTCAAAAAAATGACCACTTTTAAAAAAAGCGACCGAATTTTTCCAGAAAGCCTCAAAAAAACTAATTAAAGCTGGAAAATCTCACCAGTTCCATTGGAGTCGCCAATCCGGACCGAATCCGTTTTTTTCGTCATTTTTTCTAAAATTTCTAAAAATCCAACTTCAAGCTTCTCCTTCAGTGCAAAAGTACGAGGCCATTAACAGATTTCAAGCGAAAAAAAACCTTTAAATTGAACTCCGATTTATTAAAACAAGCCCCGACTGAAGTTTATAACGAATGAAATTAAATTTGATACAAAGAAAGGAAAAAGAAAGAAAAGAAAGAAAAAGACAAGAAGTTCGAGACGAAAGTGCGAAAATCGGGCAAAGTCCGGGGAAAAATTTATCATTTTTCTTTTGAAAAAAGGTGCGAAAAATCTTACTTTTCAACAAAAAACGATTTTTTTTTTCAATTCACTCCAATCCTGTCACAATTCTTAGTGGTCACTATAGTAGTCAAATTAGTGGCAACTCAAGGGGTTGAAAATTAGTGGCCACTATAGAGGTCCAAGTGCTACTACTAAACCACTTAAATGTTCAGTGGCCACTTTAGGGGTCAATGGATCAACATAACTGGTCCAATCTTTTTTTTTTAATTATCAGAGTTACTGGATGAAAAACTACTGAAGTGGCCACTAAAACGGAAAATAGTGGCCACTATAGAGGTTTGTTCAGTGGCCACTTTAGTGTCTTCTCCGAGTAGTCCTTGGCGAGCCTCTATAGTGGCCACTAAACATTTTTCCAGTACTTGAAAAATTGAACTTTTCCAAGACTTCAAGACATGAAAACGCACTTTTTTTCCATGATTCCAGACTTCGCCCTTGTGAAATCAAAAAGAAAGGTATAATTTACACCGTGAGCAATAGAAAAAAGACCAAAAAGTAAAATTAGTGCGAGAGGAACAATCGTAAAATAGCACAACCAGCTTAAAGAAAATAACTTATTATTATTTTTGGTGGGATCGAAAAGAACACAAATCCGTATTTTTGTTCAAGACTATCACGTTTGAAGCAATAATTCCTTTTGAATGAAACGATTATTAAGTTAAAACGAGTATTTTTACATTTGTAAGGAGGAAAGCAATAACTCAGGAAGGGCAGAGTGGTCCCTAGAGGGGTTAGAAAAGAAGAAAAAAGAGCTCTTCTAGGGGGCAAATTAGCGCTCCATATAGGAGTTTAGGATCTGACTTCTAAGCCCCTAAAGCTTGAGTGGCCCCTACAGGGTTCTTCCAATTTTTGCTCTCGTTTAAGTTAAAAAGGAGCACCTTTAAAGTGGCCCCTTCTACAAGGTTTAGTGCCCCTGTAGGGGAAGGTGATCCCTTCAGGAAAATCTACAAGAACCCCTTAAGGGACCACTCTGGCGCTTATAAAAAATTAATATCACATGAAGGTTTTTTCAATGCGTCGCGGTCGCGTTGCGGTTCTTCTGGAGGAGAGCGTCAACCTCGCGGAGTTTTTCCAAGATTTGCTGCTTTCGGTTTGATTCTGAAAACTCTTAGTAAGAAATTTACTTGGGGAAATACATTTTTTCGAAAGGTAGGAAATAAAGCAAGGTCGCTCCACGGATAATCAAGCTCAAAAAAACATTAAAATTGGTTTTTTTGTTCATTTTTTTCATGATAAAAAAAACATTTTTTTGAGGGCTTTTTTTGTAATTTTATAGAATTTCAAATTCTCAGAGCCAAAACTTCTCAGAAGAACGATCATCTTATCGCTAGGAAATTCAAAAAAAGCCCTTTTTTCCAATTTTCAATCAAAAAGCCTACAAAAAACTGTTAACTTTTCTCTGAAATTGATGAAGTTCGTACTTTTTTTGGGAGCCGGTTCCTTGGATTCGGAAGGCGGTGACATGGGCGGCGGAGGTGGAGGAGGTGGCGGAGGGGCTGGAGAAACTCGACGGGCCGACGATTCCCGCGGGCGTTTCGAGGGCGGAGGCGATACTGGAGATTTCTTCCTTTTATTGTTACTAAAATGGATTTTTCTCCGTATTTTTCCCTGTATTTTTTCCAAGAACCTTCTAGATTTCGATTCCTCGCCGCTGACGTCCTCTGAACTCGACGATATCGCTTGTGGAGAACTGCAAAAAAAAAACTTCAATTCGAAAACTGCGAGCCCCGGGACAGGTTCGGGAGATGATCCTCCACTACTGATATGATTGAGCCCTGTTATTGCCCAGTTATGGCCCAAAGCCTCTCAGGCAAGAGATTTCATGATAAAACCGGACCCCGGGACAAATTCGGAAAAAAAATTCTCGACTACTAAACTAATTGAGCCCTTTTACTGCCCAAATATGTCCCAAAGCCTACTTCCATTCATCATTAGGGCTACAGTTTTCATGATAAAACCGAACAAAGGGACATTTTCGGGATAAAATCATCCACTACTGACCTAATTGAGCCCTGTAATTGCCCAAGTAAGGCTCAGAGGCTACTTCAAAATTTGGGCCACAGTTTTTTTTCCAGAACAGAACCGAAGTCAGGGACGCTTCCGGGAGAAAACCGGGTCCACTGAACTAATTGAGCCCTTTAATTGCCCGTGTATGGCCCAAAGCCTACTTCCATTCAAAATTTGGGCTACATATTCCATGATAAAACCTAACCGAGGACATTTCCGGGAGAAGATCCTCCACTGTGACCGAATTGAGCCCTGTTATTGCCCAAGTATGGCCCAAATTCTACTTTTTAGGGCTACAGTTTTCATGATAAAACCGAACAAAGGGACATTTTCGGGATAAAATCATCCACTACTGACCTAATTGAGCACTGTTATTGCCCAGGTATAACCCAAAGCCAACTTCCATTCAAAAATTAGGGCTACAGTCTCTATGATAAAACCGAACACAGGGACATTTTCGGGAGAAGTTCCTCTACTACTGAACTAAGTTAGCCCTTTAATTGCCCAGGCACGGCAAAAATTCTACTTCCGTTCAAATATTGGGCTAGAGATTTCACGACAAAACTAAACCAAGGGCATTCTCGGGAGAAGACTACTGAACTAATTGAGCCCTGTTATTGCCCAGGTACGACCCAAACATTACTTTCCTTTCAAATCAGGGCTACAGTTTCCATGATAAAACGAAAAATTAGGCTACAGATTTCATGATAAAACCTAACCGAGGGACATTTTCGGGAGTAGATCTACAAATACTGACCTAATAAAGCCCTGTAACTGCCCAAGTATGGCCCAAACCCTACTTCCTTCCAAAGGAGACAGGTTCGGGAGTATATACTCGACTACTGAACTTCTTCAGCCCTGTAATTGCCCAGTTATGGCCCTAAGCCTACTTACATTTAAATTTGGGCTCAATTTTTCTTTCTATTTTCTATACTTGCCCTATTTCCATTCAAAACTTTGACTATAATTTTTTCTACATATAAAAACGTACGCAGGAGCTGGTTCGGGAGAAGATCCCCGGCTGCTGGACGTTTCCACGCGGTCGTCGATCGGCTCGGCTTCGTCCGAACTGACGGCTTGTTGTTCGGTCGTCATGCGGTACTTGGCGGGGAGTCCAGGAGAGTTGGAGCGGGAGGAATTCGCCGAGGAACCCGAGGAAGAGCCGGAAGAGTCGCCGTCGCTGGAGGAGACCGAGGAAACGGACGAGAAACGACGTTCTCTTCGCTCTCCACTGTCGGAGTCGCTGATCCGTTCGACGTGAGGAGCTGGTTGAGATGAAGACTTGGATCTTCGCTTGTTCCTGGACTCTCCTTCGCTGTCAGAGGATATCTCGCGGGGTACTGGTCGCGCCTGGAAAAATATATTCTTTTGAATGGGATTTCTTGAAGTTCTAAAGTTTCCGAAGTTTCCGAGCAGTACCAAGGGGCTTCTATTTCTAGAAAAACCTCACTTAAACTTGGCATTTTAGATTAATATCCCTCAATCTATCTAACTGGAAAAAAAACAGAAAATTTAAAAAAAAACGGAATCTTCTAAAACTTCCCTGTCGCAGGAAAAATCATTACTTTGGCCAAAAAAATCCTGCAGAGTGATCCCTAGAGGGTCCCTGAATGAATTTAGAGTTCTACCTAAGCCCTAACCTTGAGTGGTCACTATAGGGAAATTTCAACTTTTTTTTTCAATTTAAAGTTATAATAGAGACCAACATGCACCCCTAAAGTAGCCACTATAACACCCCTGAAGCGCCCCCTATAGGGCTAGGTAAGTGGTCTCTAGAGGGGGCTCTTAAGGGACCACTCTGGCGTTCATAAAGATAGAAAATAAGTGGAAATTCAAGAGCAATGGTCTAAACTTCAATCATTTTTTTTTGGATTTCTCTGCGCTCTCTCATGTTTCCGTGCTATTTTCCTGTTTTTGATCACGAGGGAACAGAGAGACGCAGAGAAACAGAAAATTTACGGAGTATACAACAACTTCTAAAGACTTGCTGCCTCTACTTAAGACTCCACAAAGACAAGACCGACCTTCTCTCGCGACCTGACGTCTCTGTCATTCCTGCGGTCTCTCTCGGGACCGCCTCGAGTCCTCTCCTTCATCGGAGGCGTTCTGCGTCTTTCCACGGGTCTCCGGTCATTCCTGGACCGTTCCGGGAGCTGTCGATTGGCTTCGGAGAGGAACAGGGGCAGCGTCTCGCCGTTGTTGGACCGCGACGCCGCCTTGACTTTTGCGGAGAAGCTCTGCTTGGCCGGCGCGACTCGGTCGCGTTCTCTGTCGCGTCCGCGATCGCGGCCTCTCGCCCGGTCGCGTTCGCGATCTCGCTGAACGGGCGGCGGGTTTCTCTTGGGGATTCGGTAGTTGGCGATGTCGCCACGCGGGGGCGATCTCTCGTTTTTGACGCGGTCCGAGTTGCGACGACGCGGCGGCGATTTGGATTCACTCGAAACGGATGGGGTTCTGAAAACTTAAAGTTAACCTCAAATATGACATTTATGACTTTGAATCGAGAAAAGGTCAGAAAATTCAAAATTGAGAAAAAATCGAGATATTTCAATACACTTTTTCTGCTAATTTTTCTTTTCAATAATCTGTTTTTTCACCTATTTTCAAGAACCCACCTTATTTTTGACAGATTTCGGGCTTATTTTACATATTTCAACTCTAAAACCGTGAAATCTAAGAATATAGAAATAGAAAATTAAAAAAAACTTCTACACGATCCAAAAAATGATTTTTGAACAGTTTTTACTACGATATTCCCAACAAAAAGCTAAAATTTACAGATTTCTACTAACAATAAAAATTAAGCTTCTTTTCTAGATGATGCATAAAACTAAAAACAATATCTTCCAGGAAAATTGAGCAAAAAAAAATATTTTTTGGAAAGTTTTGAACCCCGAAAACCTTCTGACACATAGAAAAGTTCATACAAATTATTCAAAAAATCACCCTTCTGAAACCGAAAAAATACATTTTTTCCCTCCAAAAAAACCTACTTCCTGTTATCGCTCCGTCTCTTGTCCTTGGGCCACATTTGGGGCGAATTTCGGGCCTGAAACTCTTTTTTTTTCTTCGATTTGGAAGAAAGACAGACTCTTCTGTCGTTCCTTTTCGGCGACGCGATATCGTCGTCGTCAGAGGAGATGTCTTCGATGACGGGCGAGGCGGGCGCCGCGTTTTTGGTCGGCGGCGTTCGCGATGACGTCGACGACGAGCCGGAGTCGTCGTCTTCCGAGTCGCTGCTGATTGGCGAGGCGTCGGCAATGAGACTACTGCAGCAAAAATAATATATAAAATATTAGTCCTATTTTTGTAGTAGTCAGATTCGTAAGAAAACTACGGCATTTTTCGTGATTCTCATTCGGATTTTTAGAACTACAGAGGGGTCCCTAGAGGGACAGTCCCAAGGGTCATTGTAGGCTCCCTCTAGGGCCGACTTCACCTCCCCCTATAGAAGGGGTGGAGGTAAAGCTAAAGCTTGCAGAAGTGTCCACTTTAGGGGAATTGGCTAGGAATCTCTACACGTCCTTTTAGAGATCAACACAAGAGAAAAAAAAAATCAAAAGTCCCCCATAGTGACCCCTCAATCTTTAGGGACATAATATACAGATTTCAAGTCCCTATAGGGACCACCTAGACTTTACCACTTTAGGGACCTCACTTTTGTCCCCTATAGGGACTGTTTTTTCCACTAACCCCTATAGGGTCCACTTTAACTCCATCTATAGAAGGCTCTAAAGCTGGCAAAAGTGTCAACTTTAGGGTAGTTGGCTAATAATCCTTATACGTCTTTCATACTAGAATCAGAGTTTGAAAGACCCCTCTAGGGACCACTCAAGCTTTAGGGACCTAGTAGTCAGATACTATAACACCATAGGGACCCCTTAAGAGTTAACAGCTTATTAGTCAGAACCTAAAATCCCATAGGGACCACCTAAAACCTACCCCTCTAGGGAGCACTATTTCGTCCCCTGTAGACACTCTTTTTCCCCTAAACCCTCTAGGGACCACTCAAACGTTCCTAAGAAATGCAAATACATTTTTTTTTTGAAAACGTCACGTGCTCGAATCACCATCATCGTCTATTTTTGTTTTTATAAACCAGCTGAAACACATTTGTGAGGCAAAAAAAGGGACCTCATGGATTTGGGAGGCGGCGTCCAAGTTCTGGAGCTTCGCGACTGCGACGGCGATGATCGTCGATTATTCGTTCCGCGATCTCTTTCTCTTAAAAAAATCAATGATCAACTGAATTTCCAAGCAATTTTTCGCATTTTTTGAGTCAAATATGAAGAAAATAAACTTTTTTGGCTCATTTTTCAGCTTTCCCGATCATTTTTGGGCCAAAAATGATTTTTCAATCAACCTAATCTGTATAAAATGGTATTACGGCCTTTTCAGCTTATATAACCATTTTTTTCTGGCCAAAATTTTTTTCAATTAGCCAAATGGGATGAAAATGAGTTTTTTTGCTCATTTGTCAGCTTTTTTGACAATTTTTCAGGCTGAAAACAACTTTGAAATCCGAAAAACATGATGAAAATAAATTATTTTGCCTCATTTTTCATCTTTTTCAACCATTTTGGGCCAAAAGCTTATATAGGTCATTCCGCGCCAGCTTGTCACGATTTTAATTTTCCTCGGAGCTACAGAACCCCTTTCTGGGCTTCGCTTCGATGCTCTCGGTGTTCCCCCCTGCGTGCGCCTTTAATAAAACATTATTTCTGATCAAGATATTGCTTCAATTTCCGCTATCTCTTTTATTAATTTACGAGGTTTTTTCAATGGATTGATTTCATTTTTCGCTTCAACTATACACACTCAGATTCTGTGCTGGATTTGTAAAAAAAGAAAAATCAAAAAAAGATTAATTTAATAATTTTTGATTTTTTTATTAATGAAACCGACTGTTCGAGCTTTTTTGCATATTATCTTTGGGTTAGTTTAATATAAAATTTAATGTTACAACTGTTTTTTTGTAAAATAAGAAAAATTCTAAAATTCGGAAATAATGATTTTTTTATTAAAGGCGCACGCAAGGGGGCACACCGAGAGCATCGAAGCGAAGCGCCGAAAAGGCTACTCTAGCTCCAAATAAACTGGAAATCGTGACAAGCTGGCGCGGAATGACCTATATAACCGTTTTTCGGGCCAAAACTCATTTTAATCAACCAAATGTAACGAAAATTATTTTTTTTGCTCATTTTTCAGCTTTCCCAACCATTTTTAGGCCAAAAATTGTTTCTTAATCAACCGAATATGACGTAAATTTCATCTCGGCTCATTTTTGTTAGTATAACCATTTTTTTCGGGCCAAACATTTTTCTAATTAAAAAAATGTGATGAAAATGAGTTATTTTCGCTCATTTTTCAGCTTTTCGCCAATTTTTCGGGTTTTAGGCGATTTTCAGGCTGAAATTTTTTTTTTTAATCAAGCGAATCTGAAGAAAATGTCATCTCGGCTCATTTTGCCCATTTTCTAACGATTTTCCTGGCAATTTTCGGGCCGAAAACTTTTTCTAATCAACCAATTGTGACGGAAATGAGTTATATTTGCTCATTTTTTTAGCTTTTTCTACCAAATTTTTCGGTCTCAAAATGATTTTTGAAATCAATCAAATGTGATGAAATTTAATTATTTTTAGCTTATTTTTTTCAGCTTTCCCAATAATTTTTGGGGCAAAAATAATTTTTAAATGACCCTAATCTGACGAAAATTAGTTATTTTTGGCTCATTTTTTTCAGCTTTTTCTGTCAGTTCTTCAGGCTAAAAAAATAACTTTGAAATTGATGAAATGTGATAAAATCAGTTATTCCAGCTTATTTTACAAATTTTTTTGGCGATTTTTCAAGCTCAAAACTTATATGAAAAATCGACAAAATGTGAGAAAAAAATGAGTTTGTCTATGCTTTTTCAAATAATTTTCGCCCAAAAAACCAATCAAATATTATGAAAATCAATTATTTTGGTTTATTTCCCAGCTTTTCTGTCGGTTTTTCAGTTCAGTTATTTTTCAGCTTTTCCTACCCTTTCCGAGCCAAAAACTTCAAAAAATACACTTTTTTGACTAAAAATGAACCTTTCTCGTTCCCTGGGGCGATCATTCGCACGAATCGGAGGTTCCCTTCTTCCCGCATTTTGTCTTCCCATCGGATAACGACACTGAGGGCCCAAATCGGCCACCGCTAAAGAATTATCACTGTTTTATTCAAAAAAAGGTCTCAAAATACGTTTATAAGGCCGGGGAGGCGGCGGCGAAGTTCGCAAATCGAGCAAAGAAGGAATCGATTTCCTCGCTTTTTCTTCCCTCGGCGAAATCGATCGGCTTCGGCGTCTGAAGAAGCGAATTTTTTTGTGATTTTTCATAAAAACTCATTATTTTTTTTTCAAAAATTTGAAAAAAGGTCCCAGTTTTTTACATGGCAGAAGGATAAAGCCGTAAAATTGATATCGAATCTAATGAAAAAAAAAACTTCAAAAATTTGGAAACCGTCCGCAAATGCATCTGATAGATAGGAAAAAAAAATTCGGAAAGGAAAAATGTAAAAAAATTTTCAAACTCTGGACAATTTTTCGAATTTTCTCTTCAAATGAAACTAGAAAGGGAACTTTTTCAGCCCGCCGTTGAACTTTTTCATAAAACTTGGCTTCTAGGTGTACCTTAAGATCTTTCCAAACCATTTCAAAAAGATTTTTCAAATTTATATTGTTCGAAGTCCGAAAAACACAAAAAAAGGCCTTTTTTTGAGAGTTTTTAAAATTTTATTTATAAAAAAATTTTTATAAATTTTTCCATAATTGTCTTTTTTTCAATAATAACCCTATTGGTACTGCCAAAAAACTTTTTGTTAAAAAAATTTAGCTCAAAAATTCAAAAAAAACTGTTTCAAAATTCAGCACCTGCGCCCAAAAAGATTTTTACTTTTTTTAGTTTTTTTCTTCTAAACTCAAAAAGTCTGGCTTTTTCTATGGCCAAAAAAACGAGCTGTTTCCTAGAAAAATCCGCTCAAAAAAATCTTATTTCTGTTGATTTTTTTCCCCAGAAAAAGACTCACTTTTTAAGGTCAAAAACTAGCTTTTCCCTAGAAAATCCGCTCAAAAACCTTATTTTTCGGGTTTCATTTTCTGTTTTTTTGTCGATTTTTCCCAAAAAGGGCTCATTTTCTAAGGCCAAAAAAACGAGCTGTTTCCTAGAAAATGCGCTCTTTAAAAAAGTCTTATTTTTATGATTTATTTTCCGTCTTTTCATTCATTTTTCCCTAAAAAGGGCTCATTTTCTGGATCCAAAAACGGACTTTTCCCTGGACCCCTCGTCACTCGAATCCACCATCCGTCTGCCTCGTTCCCGTTCCCCGGAAGGGACGGCGAGAAGTCGTTTCTGCTCGAAATCCGGGTCTTTCTGTCGCTTTTCCTTGGCTTTTTTCATGATTTCGTGCGCCTCGCGCATACTCTTCTCCCAGGCCGATTCGGAGCTCGGCGGCGTCGAAGAAGCTGCAAATCGAGCTGTGTTGCCAATATCTTATTACTTTGGACAGCTTTGAAACTATATGGAATATTATTGAAACAGGGATATAGTTTTAAAAAAATGTTAAAAAAATTAAAGTTGTCACGAAAAATTCTCTCCAAAAATATTTTTTTAAATCGAAAAATACACAACAGCTTCGAAGCTTTATATAATTTCTGTTGATTCATTGAAACAGTGATGTATTTTAATACGCTCAAAGTTACACAATTATCCTCAGAATCTTCTGGAAAATATCTTTTATCCGATAAATATGGATTCTCCTATTGCTTTCAACTTTTTTCGAAGTCTTTTTAAACTATCATTGAAACATATGTGATTCAGGACGCTGGAAATTCCACTATTCTCACTGATATCATTTCAAAAACATCTCCAAATCTCAAATGATGAACCATTTCCATAAATTCAAGTCTTCAACCGATTTAGAGGTTCATGAAAACTTTCTTGAATTTTTTTTGAAACGGTGATGAACTTTAAGATGCGGAAATCAGACGCTCAAAATTATCTTCGGAATCTTCTCAAAAATATATTTTATTCGATAAATATGGATTCTCCTATTGCTTTGAACTTTTTTCGAAGTCTTTTTAAATTATCATTGAAACTTATGTGATTTAGGATGCTGAAAATCAAGCTATTGCTAAAAACTAAAAATATCTTGAAATCGCTGAATATTGTCTTGCAAAGTTTTTTTGTAAGTTATTTTTTTTTTTTTTTTATTAAGATGCTGAAATTCAACTTTCATTCCTGATATCCTCTCAAAACAACCTTCATTTCCAAAAACCTATCATCTTCAAAGGTTTATGAGAGTTTTCTTGAATTATTGAAACAGCGATGAATTTTAAGACGCTGGAATTTGAAATTTTATCCTCTAAAAGCCCTCTTGAAAGCAGTGATGTAGTTTTCTAATGTTAAAATTGAAATTTATCAGAAAAAAATTCTCTCAGAAACATTTTCAACATGAAAAAGACGTAACAGCTTCGAAGCTTCATATAATTTTTGTTGAATCATTGAAACAGTGATGTATTTTAAGACGCTCAAAATTACACAATTTTCCTCGGGATCTTCTAAAAAATATCTTTTATCCGATAAATATGGATTCTCCTATTGTTTTTGAACATTTTTGAAAGTCTTTTTGAATTACTGTTGAAACTTATGTGACCCAGGTTGCTGGAAATTCCATTATTCTCACCGATATCATTTCAAAAATATCTCCAAACCTCAAATGATGAACCATTTCCATAAATTAAAGTCTTCAACCGATTTATAGGTTTATGAAAACTTTCTTGGAATATTCTTGAAACTGTGAGTGATCTTAAAATGCTGGTAATTGAACTTTTATCCCCGATATCCTATCAAAAAATCTTCATATGATACAGAAACCTTCAAAAATCAATTATTCAACCAATTAGAACGTTTTTGTATCATTTTTTTAAATTATTGAAACAATGATGTGTTTCATGACGCTTAAAATCCCATCAATATCCTAGATATCTTTTCAAAAAAAAAATTGCATTTGAAGACTCGGACCTTGGTAACGCGAACGGGACGTGTCGGAGCATTTCTAGTGACTAGTTTAGTAGCCTCAGCGCTCTTAAGTGATCACTAGAAGGGCTCAGAAACGTCCGGAGCTTTACTGATGTCCGAGGAATCTTTCTAACCGCTACAAATTTTTTTGAAAATTTTTTTGGTTTATTATTGAAACAGTGATGTAATTTAGGACGCTGAAAATATAAATTATCACCGATTTCTTCTAAAAAAATATCTTTCATTCGATAAATATGGATTCTCCTATTGCTTTGAAGATTTATGAACGTCTTTATGAATTACTGTTGAAACTTATGTGATTCAGAATGCTTAAAATCAAGCTACTGAACTAGAAATGTCTTGAAATCGCTGAATATTGTCTTGCAAAAGTTTTTTTGTAAGTTATTTTTTTGATTTTTATTAAGACGCTGAAATTCAACTTTCATCCCTGATCCTCTCAAAACAACTTTCATTTCCAAAAACCTATCATCTTTAAAGGTTTATGAGAGTTTTGTTAAATTATTGAAACAGTGATGAACTTTGAGATGGAATTTGAAATTTTATCCTCTAAATATCCTCTTGGAAGAATCTTAAAAGCCGTGATGTAGTTTTGAAATGTTGAAATTGAAAGTTGTCACAAATATTATCTCTGAAAAATCTTTAAAAAAAACTACACAACAGCTTCAAAGCTTTATAACAATTTTTCGGATTCATTGAAACAGTGATGTATTTTAAGACGCTCGAAAAATACACCATTATCCTCGGGATCTTCTAAAAAAATATCTTTTTATCCGATAAATATGGATTCTCCTATTGCTTTGAACATTTTTGAAAGTCTTTATGAATTACTGTTGAAACTTATGTGACCCAGGTTGCTGGAAATTCCATTATTCTCACTGATATCATTTCAAAAATATCTTGTAATGAAAAGAAATTTTTTTTTTTTGAAATTTCAAGTGTTCCATGGAGCAAAATTGTGGCGTGGAGGAGTTTTTCAAACACATGTGAAAATATTCCCTTTGTTATCATTTTAAAAGCTTATGAAGATCTTTTTGAATCATTATCGAAACAGTGGTGTCATTTATTTTTCTCACCAGCAACAGAGGGAACGAAACGATGACGAATTGGCGGCAGTCGAACTTCATCCGTTGGTCTCGACAATCGGCACTGAAAGAATCAAATTTTTTTCGTTCTAAATTCCTAATTAGGAAGATTAAGCTTTTTTTCAAATAAAAAGCGATAAAAAAATTTTTTTCTTTTTTTCTGTGAAGCCTATTGATACACTTCTAGAAAGTTTTTTTGAACTTTGAAAAATGAGAATAAAAAAATAAAAAAAGGTTGATTTTTAATGGGAAAGTTGAAATTGGAATATGGAAACGAGGATTTTTTTATGGAAAGTAAGAACTACGAAATTATAAAAAAACTCGAATTTTATAGAAAATTTGAACAAGAAAAAGTAATAAAAAAATTGATTTTTTTATGAAAAATTTTTGAATTTTGAAACCACGAAAAAAACTGACTTTTTCTGAAAAAAATTCAAGCTAGGGAGAGGCCACGAAAAAAATTGATCTTCATGAAATTTGAACTATAAAACTGTGGAAAAAAAATCGACTTTAATGAAAAAAATTTGTACTATGAAAGTTATAAAAAAATTGATTTTTTTATGAAAAAAATTTAGTTTGCGAAACCACAAAAAAACTGATTATTGGGGAAATTTGAACTAGGAAACTATGGAAAGATTTTTTTAAGGAAATGTTGAACTACAAAAATTGTGAAAAAAAGTCGATTTTTTTATGAAAAATTTGAACTACGTAATCACAAAAAAACTGATTTTTCATATTAAGTTCGAACTATGAAACTTTTAAAAAGAGTTGATTTTTTTATAAAAAAATTTGAATAAGAAGGTTATAAAAAGTTGATTTTTTTATGGAAAAATTTAAACTACAAAGTTATAGGAAATCTGTTTTTAAGAAAAAAATTTGAACCACGAAAAACAGTAATTTTTTTATGAGAATCAAGAACTAGGAAACAATGAAAAGCTGATTTTCAAGGAAAATTTGAATTTAGAAATCAGGAAAAATTCAATTTTTTATGCATGAGTGGAAGTATAAAACAATGAAAAAACTGATTTTTATGAGAAATGTGAATCAGGAATAGTCTATATGAACTATTTTTCTTCTTCCCACCTCAATTGGCTTTCTTCTGGGAGGCATTCGATCCGAATCTGGCGCGGTGACTCTTTCTCTTTCTCTGGCTGGACTTCGAATTTTGTCCCTTTTTGGGGGCAACGAGGAGTCGCTGGCCTGAAATACTTTGAATCGGGAACAAGAAAAAAAATATATATCGTTTTGAATATGAGGAATGAAGGCAAGGCCGCTTTGAAATCGAAATGAAGAGAGAAATTTTCGAATAATATTTCCATATAGCCTATTCCGCGCCAGCTTGTCACGTTTTTCTTTCCGCCAAAAAGACCGTATACCAAATTAGATCAAATTTCTGCTTTTATAACGGCAAGAAACAAAGGTCTTGAAGGGAAAGTTGGTTGAATTTGGCCTGGTCTTTTGGCGGAAAGGAAAACGTGACAAGCTGGCGCGGAATGGTCTATAATTGCGAATTTACATTACTTACGTTACCAATTCCACTAAAATCAATTCCCAAAATTTTTGAAATTTATAAAGAATTTTTTTAATATGAGAATCGAAGGCAAAGAAAAAAAATAAATCGAAAACGAATTATGCATTGTTTGAGCCATTCTATAGAATTAAATTTAAAGTATGAACATCATAAAAAATCTCACTTTGAACTAAAATATAACCAGAAAACTTACTTTTTGTTAAAAAACGCAATTTGCATGAAAAAGTTTTTATATGGAACTTTTGACCTCGAAATGAGATCAAATATGGATCACATACAGAAAAAAATATTTCTCTCTTCTAATTTTTGTCCTTAATTTTTCATTGTTCCTTCTCTTTTTTTCGTTCGTTTCAACTCTATTTCCTCGGTTTATAATTTTTTTAAACAGGCGGGAGGTGTTTCCACTCATTTTTTTGCTTTTTTTGGTCATATAAGCTGAAAAAAATTATGCTTTTTTTCCCACTTTCATCGTTACGCTAAAGTTAAAAATCAATAACTCAAGCACTCCCATTTTTTATTTAAATATGGTTCTTCAGAAACTTGCAAAAAGAGATGTTTGAAACCGGTTTAAAAAGTGAGCAAGGGTACTAAGAAGTATTATAAAAAAATCAAAAAAAGACACTTCCAAAAGGTTCTTTCACTCAAAAAGGAGCCGGAATCCGTATCTAAAATCTAAAAAATTTTCTATTAATTCGGGCAAATTTTTTCATGAATTCCTTTCTTTTTATATGTACTTTTTTTCCGCCCCTGGAAGAAAAAAACATTCTAAAAATTATTTTTAAGAAAATCTTAAAAAAAAATATTTCACAGTTTCATTTTTGTTTCTTGTTTCAATTTCAACTTAATATATCAAACATTTTTAAAAACTCTATAGTAAATTTTTAAATGACCGTTAAGATCAACAAATCCTGAAAAAAATAACATTTCACACTGGGATTTCTGACCTCGCCCTCGTCGCTGTCTTCCAACTCTCCGTCCTCCAGCTCTCCTTCCTCTTTCTCCTCGTCATTTTCTTGCTTCGTTTCTTTATCGTCATCTTCATCTTCCTCGCTGATTTCTCCTTCATCCGACTTCTAAAAAAACATCTTCATTTCAATTTAAAACCCAATTTTACCTCATTTTCGTCGTCGAAAATCCCGTCCTCGTAGTCCAAATCTAAGTCGTCATCGCTCGATTTTTTGTTCTCCAGCGAGCCAACGCTTATATCTACAAGAAATTCTCATAAATATTATAATTCCCCCGTTTCAGACCAATTCCATCAGCGGCCTCGAGAGAAACATCGTTGGAATAGTCCAAATCGCCCATGTAAGCCGGCCCTCAACCTATAAACTCTAATAAGACAAAGTTCCGAATCGAATCGTTCAGCAAAACGGTGGCCTTTACTTTCGTCCCATTGTTACCCCGGAAAAACAGAAAATACTCAAATTATTGTTAGAATTTTCCTCCTAAACATGAACTTCCACTTGAGAAATGTAAAAATGATGAAACTTTTGTCTAAAACTTTTCTTTTTGGAAAATTTTACACTACACGAAGAAGATCAACTACAACAAAACTATAAACCAAAAAAACAAAGCTATTCGAAACAATACGTAATTTATGCGCGAGCGAAATGAAAAACACTGAAAATTTAATAAATAAAAAAAAGATCCTCATACCCAAAAAAGCTGGGCATTTTAACATGTGACCAACAACTCAACCTTTCCGCTGACACTCGCATAAATCGCATAGGGGCCCAGGTTGCACGGATTGAAAGCATTTTTTCCAAGGAAAAATGCGATTTCGAGTGAGAGTGTGTGGGGGTTTTGGTGTACAGGGAGAGAAGAAGGTGGAAGAAGAAGTATTGGAAAAGCGTTTAAATCTGCCAACGGCTCCCATTTCAAGCCTTAGAGAAATAGCGGCGGCTGTTGAATTTTCGGCAAAACACGAAGGACCGTTGAATCAGCTGCTAGGAAACGGCCAACGGATCGATAAACACGAAAATGTGCGTACACGCCGGCGTCTTTTCAAAGGCAATGCGCCACGAGACGCGCAGTAATTATTCCGAACGCTTTTCACTGGGAAAAACTCCAGTGGCCGCTTAAGAGGTTTCTCAAGGACTACTTGGAGGGGACTCTAAAGTGGCCAATAAAAACACCTCTATAGGATTTTATTTGTTCAATCCTTGACAGAGTTTTTTTCAAAACAAAATCTTCAAAAACATAATCGAAGATCTCCGAGTAAGTATTTTGCCAAGTGGAACAATAACTTCAGTGAAATTATTTTTTTTTTCTTTGGCTGATCATGGAAAGTTTGTCGTATAATTTTAAAAATGAATAAAACCGAGTTTTTCAAGTTTTATTTATCGTTCGAACTGAGGAAAAAGCTTGGAAATTCTGGGAAAATTGTTTTGAAACCTTGTTTTTTTGAACTTGTATTCCAAATTTTTTTATTTGAATATCGTAAAAAAACCATAATTTTCTATAATATTTATAATTTAACATGATTGAAAACTTAATTTTCATTATCATAGTTCCTTTTAGATGTGGAATGTGTGGTCCGATACTTCCTACGCTGTGTTTAAAGTGAAAAAAGTGTCATCAATCAAAGTAAACCATAAGATCTTTCTTGATTTCTGATTTCTTGGCGAAAAAAACTTCCTATTCGACCGTCGGAAACCATACTTTGAATCCGATTTCTCCTGGAAACGTGACAGGGAAAGAATAATTAATCAAAACCACTAAACAAAAGTCACGTCGTAGTTTTGATTTTTCGTTCCTTGAAACTTGATGAGATGGAGAAACCCCTTGGACTCGGCTAGAAAAAAAAGGAAAAAAAGTTTGATTTTTCAACCCGGGAACTAGGAACTATTAGGAATTGATCTTTTGGATTCTGGGAAATAAGTTAGGAACTGTTTTAGAATAAACCATTAATTTTTTTCTCTGATAATTTATTCAATCAAATTCAAAAAATTGATAGTTTCATTCTGGCTTTCCGGCGCTTACAAATATCAAATTGTTCTTTTAGAACTTAAATATTGGTTCTAAAAAAGGAAAGCTTAATAAAATTCATAGAAACAATTTGATCTTGTGATCTTTTGAATAAAAAGTTGAAATAAAACTGTTCAACTGATAAATTAGAAAGCTTTTGCGTTTTCAAAGATTTTTCATTCAATAGGAGGAAAATCTCATAGGCAAAAAAATAATTTGATGATTTTTGGAGACATTAATCAGGACGTCAACTTTATTTGAATTTCACAGACTGGGAAAATTTTTAGGAGCCACTATAGTAGTCAAATTAGTGTCCACTAAAGAGGTAAAAATTAGTGGTCACTATAGAGGTCTAAGTTCTACTACTAGACCACTAAAAATTCTAATAGCCACTTTAGGGGTCAATAGATCAACATAACTGGTCGAATCTGTTTGTTTCAAAGTTATCAGAGTTACTGGAAGGAATACTGGATGAAAAACTACTGAAGTGGCCACTAAAACGGAAAATAGTGCCCACTATAGAGGTTGGTTTAGTGGCCAATTAAGTGTCCTCTCCAAGTAGTCATTGGTGAGCCTCTATAGGGGCCACTAAAAGTTTTCGCAGGAGGTTCCAAAAAATCTTCACGGCTTTTTCAGCTTTCAGATTACTTTTTTCTGAGAAATTTCTTTGGTTTATTGTTTTCAAACTTCTTTTCACCCTTTCATAAGAACTAACATTCGAAAGAAAGCAATTACTTAGGAACGCCAGAATGGTCCCCTAAGGGCCCTTGAAGGTTCCCCTCTAGGTGTCACTTTACTTCCCCCTACAGGGGGTACTGAAGCTTGCGAAGGTGATCCCTCTAAGAGAGTATTTAAATATGAAAAGAAGAATTCTGATGCGAAAAACTAAACAAATTTTAAAAAAAGGCTTTTTTCTAACAAAAAATAACAAAAAACTGATCAAGTTCGTGTTTTCAATTTTTCAAATCGGAAAAAAAGGATAACCTAATGGGAACCGATTGAGCTTTAGTAGCTTAGCGGTCAGACCCTGAACCCCTATAGGGACCACTTAACTTTTTGCATTTTTGAGAGCTCTATTTTGTCCCCTATGGGGGCTGGTTTTCACCCTAACCCCTTTAGGGACCACTCTGGTGTTCTTAAGTAGATGTTTTTCTGGAAGCTTTCTTAGTAACTCCACTTATGCCGTGTTCAAAGTAATTTCCGCGAAATGCAAAATGATCACTGACTCTCCAAAATTTAGTGATCTTTTCCTTTCTCTAACGGGTATTTTGCATTTCGCGGAAATTACTTTGAACACGGCATTTCATTTCATGATATTTTTGAAATGATATCGGTGAGAATAATGGAATTTCCAGCAACCTGGGTCACATATGTTTCAATGATAGTTTAAAAAGACTTTCAAAAATCTTCAAAGCAATAGGAGAATCCATATTTATCGGATAAAATATATTTTTTTAGAAGATCCCGAGGAAAATTTTTGTAATTTTGAGCGTCTTAAATTACATTACTGTTTCAATGAATCAACAAAATTGGATATCAGGGATGAAAGTTGAATTTTAGAATCTTAAAAAAACATCGTCGTTACGATGATATTTCAAAAAAAATATTTTTACAAAAATACTATAAGTGATTATAGAGTCAATATTTAGCGATTTCAAGATATTTCTAGTTCAATCGTTTGGTTTTTCAGCATCCTAAATCACATAAGTTTCAGTAAAAGTTCAAAAAGACTTTTAATAAATCTTTTGAAGCAATAACATATTTATCGAATAAAAATATATTTTTCGAGAAGATACCGAAGATAATTGCGTAATTTTTTTAGCGTCTTAAAAATACATCAATGTTTTAATAAATCCCCAAAATTGTCATGAAGCTTCGAAGCTGTTGTGTAGTTTTCATTTAATTGTTGTGTAGTTTTCATTTTTTTTCAATGAAGCTTAAAAAATTTTTTTTAAGGACTGCGAGAAGTTTTTGGCTGTGTTTCCCATACCCAAAAGCCTTGTAGACTTTGCCTTTGGATGGAAGTTTTTAAAGTCCGATCATATTTGTTAAAAATACGTGACCATTCCTCATAACCATCACAAGGAACCCAGGAAATTTATCAAGAGTCCAGAAAACTTGTGGAAGTCATCATCTGATCGAGATGACGCTGTTGATGTTCAGGAAATATCATCCACGCCCATTCCAGGGAAACCAAAAGGGAATAGTATATAACCAATCGGTTTCTTATCAAAAATACCTTCCTCCTTCTCTTCTTCGGACACTTTTCCCGAAAAATGCAGTTCAACCCGACCAACGTCTTCTGTCTTCTGATCATCTTCTTCCTCTCGACTTCCCTGGTCAACTGCGGGATTTTCGACCCGTATCCGGCCTATTCCAACGCCTACGGATCCTACCAACAGAACTACGGATATCCTCTCACTTTGTACAAAGATGTCAACGGCTTCTTCTTGTCCTGCAGTGGGAACGGCGCCGCTTTCGGATGCTGATTTTATCAAATTTTTAATTTTTATATTTTTTCATTGATCTCGTCGTACTGTATTTGTAAATAAATGAAGTTTTTTTCTAAATGTTGTTCTCTGATTTTTCGGAAAAAAAACTTTGGATCTGGAAAGTTTATTCAAGAAGATCAGGGCCAGGAATTTTCATTCAAAAGTGTTTCTTTGAAATTGTCCAATGTAATTTTTGGCTGGGAATTCCTTGAAAATTGGCCAGAATATTTCTTAATGCACCAAGAGAAGATCCTGAAAGTCCCAACCTGCCCAACTTCCTAATTATTGAGAAACGAGGGCTCAAAAGCTAAAAACCTTCTTCAAACACATTTCTTTCTTGGAGCCTCTCTTTGAAAAATTCAAATTTCTGGTCAAGTTTTTAGCGAGTTTATACTTCAAATAAACAAGAAATATGAAATTTTCCAGTAGGAATAAAAGCAAACTCCTAACTAATTTTCCCCGAGATCGTTGTTTTTTCCCGACTAACCTAAGAACGCCAGTGTGGTCTCTATAGGGGCAACCTTAGGGTACTCAAAGGCTCCCCTCTAGGGATCACCTTACTACCTCCTCTAGGTAGCACTAAAGCTCGCAAAAGCGGCCGCTCTAGGGATTTCTGTGAGTAGCTCCTTAAGGGAAACTTCGCACGTTTTATTCTTCTTTTTTACTGGACTTCTACAAGAAGAAGCATTTCTATTTGAGAAACTCAATCAAATAACGTTTTTGAGGGAAAAAAAATCAATAAAAAATTAATTAATTAACTATTTTTAGCAGTGAGATCCTAAGCCCCTGTAGGGAGTTCTTTTTTTGCTTCATTTAGGGATTTTTTTCTTCCTCTTAACTCCTTTAAAGACCTTTCTTCACTTGTTTTTTTGCTTCAATTATACATTATTAAGGAAAAAAATTTCCCAAATCACTCCAAAAAGGTGAAAAAAACAGTCAAGTTATATGAACTTTTAATGAAAAAAACAGGAGGTCAAAGTAAGGGAATCACTTGATTTCGCGCTGTTGATTGTTTATGACGTTTCACGCACTCGGAATGAACCAAATGTACACAGGTTAACATTACAATAGGCCCAAAGTTATGTTTTCAGTCATCAAAAGCCAAAAAAGGGCAGAAATAAGTGGAAAATAGAGAAGTTTTGATGGTAACTCATCCAAAAACGTACTTGAAAGGAGAATAATTTAATTCTTGACCTTTGCGGAAGTAAAAAAAATTGACTGAACTTCAAAAAATCCAAGGAGCTTTAGGAGACATTGAAATAGCCCCAAAATTATTTTTACAGGCATCAAAAGCCGAAAAAAGGTCAGAAAAGAGTGAAAAGAGGCTAATTTTAGCATTAGCTTATCCAAAAATAGTCTTGAAAACCAAAAAAATATTTCTTGACCTTTGCGGAAGATAAATAAAATCGAATTTTTTTGAAAAAAATTCAAGAAAAAAATCTTCAAACTTCGAGGGAAAAATATTTCTAAAAAGAAATCAGACCTCGATTTTTGATTTAAGGGGGGATTTATATTTAAAACTCGTGGGTGTCGGAGAAGTCTCCAAATTTCTCAGATTGTATTTTTAAAAAAAGTTTTGAAAAATGAAAAAAATGATATTAAAGAGAAAAAGGCCAGTATTTCGTACCATTTTTAGAAATTTCCAGTTTATTTCATACTAAAAAAAGCTCAAGCTCAGGTTCAAGGGAAAAAATTTTGAACAAAAACATAAAATCGACATTGAAATTTAATTTTTTTAAAAAAAGCCCAGGCGCCTTGGAGACATTAGAATAGCCTTCTCTGTGTTTTTTCTTCATATTTTTTTTTGCTTTAAACAAAAATCAATATAAGAATAATTTATTCACAAGTCCATACACGTAGGAATACATACTGAGATCAAATATGACATTTTTGGAAGATTTCCCGAAGAAATCAGCATCCCCAGACGGCGGCGGTATTGCCACAGGAAGCGTAGAAACCGTCGGCACTTTTGAAGGGCGAATAGGAATATCCGCTGGCTTGTTGGTAGGATCCCAGGGCGTAGTTATAAGCCGGGTAAGGGTTGATAGGCGCAGAGTTGACGTAGGGACTCTGGTAGGACGCGTAGGGATATCCGTAGTTTTGTTGGTAGGATCCGTAGGAGTTCTGGGAGGGATATCCGTTGGACTGTTGGAAGGAGTTCAAGGCGTAGGAATACGCCGGATAAGGGTCGAAAATGGCGCTTCTGGCCGTGGAAACGAGGAAAATCATCAGGAAGACGAAGACGTTCTGCATTCTTCCGGGACTAGACTCTAGTTTCGGGAAGTCGGAGAGAAGATGTCTGTCCTATCGTCTCCCGATTGGTTATATACCTTCTCTTCAGACCGTTCTTCATAAGTGGGCGGAGTCAGTGACCCGAGGGGTCTCTGACCAATCTTTGTCATCATCGCCCCTGATTTCCGATTAACAGCGATTCTGAATCAGTTTTTTGCGCGTGACAAAGCGGAGAATTCGTGACAAATCTGATGAGAAAGAAGCGTTCAAAAGCAAAAGATCAACGTAGAAACGTGAGAAAGAAGTTGTCATTGATATTATTTTTTTAAAGTGTTTGAAAGGTACTGAGCGCTTGACATGTTAGAATTTCATTTATAAAAAAATTCAAAAAAATTCGAAAAAAATTTCTAGTTTTCTGAACAAAAAAACTCTTCAAAAACTCATAATAAAAAGTCGATGAAAGCTTCCTTTTTTTCAATTTACCAGGGAATTTTTTTCAATTTGTTCAGAATGAGACCCACTTTACTAGATACAATTTTTCCCGCTGATTCCAAATCTGGTTTCAAAAATGGCCAAAGAGGTCTGTGAAAAAAGTTATGGACCCCCGAAAGTCGAAAGTTGCAGGGTCTGAGCTCAACTTTGAATTTTATGTAGATCTTGTCCTTATGGCAGTGGTTAATTCCAACTGAGGACTCCATCTGGATAAACTAGATTTTTTCATGACTCAATTTGATAATTTCAAGTTCTTTAAAGTTACTTTTAAATCTACATATTTTTGAAAAAAATTTCTTTTGAATTTTGCTAAAGAAGTTGTAAACTCCATTCTCACAGTCCAAAAGATCAACCCCCAAAAATAAGTTCAAAGTTGAAAAATCAAACTTCCTTTTTAACCGATTCTGAGTCATTTCTCACTCTCAAAAATCAAAAAATCAAACGTTTCTCCGGTCACCACGTGACCTCTGTTTATTATTCCCATTTATTTTTTTCTCCTAGCCGAAAAAAGAATATAATATCGATAGAAAGTCCAAAGTCCGTCCGTCGAACGAGACGTCTCGTCGTCGAAAAATCAAAAGTCGAAGAAAATCGTAGGGTTCAGTTTGATGGATGACATTCTGGCGTTACTTTAAACTTTATGAGAAATATCGGAGAACACAATTTACGTTGAAAAGGTCTAACCTTCTTAAAAAAATGTCCAATATTATTCAATTTGAGAGAAAAATTAGTGGTTTCTGGGTTTTCGATTTTTTTTTTCTGTTCATAAAACAAGAAAAAAAGCCAGAGCACAAAAATTTCGTTTTTGTGTCCACCGACATCATTAAGCGATCACTTAAGGGGCGTTCCTTTCACGATTTTCACTGTTTCCTAGAGCTAATAAATAATCAATAATTTTTATATATCACGTGTTATTCAAAAAACCAGCTAGTTTTCGATTTTTGTTGTTCATAAAATCAAGAAAAATAGCCCAAGCACTGAATTTCTGTTATTTCGCCGGAAACTTCAAGCGACCCCTTAAGGGGCGTTCCTTCTACCATTTTTACTGTTTCCAAGAGAATGTAAATATTCAATATCTGTTAATTTTTATAATTAATAATAAAAAAATAATTATTCAGACTTTCTGGTTAAATCTTCTCATCCAAATTTTTTTACCTTGTAATTTTCTTAGAACTCCGGAAAATTTCTTTTTCGGCTTAGGCGTTCTTTAAAAAGGATAGTTAAACCTGGAAAAATTCAAAAAGTATCATTGTAAAACATATATGTCAAATATATGAACAATTTATTTTATTGCTGCCTTCAAAAAAATTAAATCAGTTCATCTAAAAAAATCACATTACTTGTATGGAACATGAGACCAAAATTGGATTTCTTCAGATGTTTTTTGAGAACTTCCCTCTATTCTTCGGTATTCACAACACAAAGTATCTCCTTCAAATGCCCAAACTGTCTTTTTTTTTTTGCAATTCCCAAGAAGCATTGAATAAAAGATTTATTTACAAGAACATTTACTCGTATACAAGGGCATGAGATCGAATATGAAATTTTTGGAAGACTTCTCGACGAAATCAGCATCCCCAGACGGCGGCCGTGCCACCGCAAGAAGCGTAGAAACCGTCGGCACTTTTGACGGCCGAGTAAGGATATCCGTTGGCTTGTTGGTAGGATCCCAGGGCGTAGGAATAGGCCGGGAATGGGTCGAAAATGGCGCCGCTGACCAGGCAAGTCGTGAAGAAGAAGATGATCAGAAGACAGAAGACGTTGGAGTGCATTGTTTGGGACTTTCCAAACCAAAATGTTCCCGCCATTTACACCCATTCCCTTTTTGGGGCTGACCTCTGGGCGTGGTCCCTGGCCGCTGCAGCCGAATCAAATCAACAGCGCTGCAAAACTTTTGTCATCTTCCCCGCATCGATTTCGAACCGGCTTTTTTCTGTTGCCTACAATGACCTAAGATTGGATGAGGGACACTGTAGCCCGTGTGAAAATCATTTGACGTTCAGAAAAAACAAATATCCTTTTTTCGGACGATTTTCCATTATTAATGTTTACCCGCCGTTCTTTGAGATCGGTACGGAAAATTAAAATCGTTTTTTGAGCTCATTTTTTAATCATATCAACCAGACAAGTCTCTGAAGGTTTCAGTCATGGGTTGAACAGGCTCCGCCCCTTTTAAGGATTACTGTAGCCGGAATACAAAAATAAACCTAACTTATTTCACTCAGTCGAAATAATGTAGTTTGAAAAAAAATTGCCAAAAAGAACATTTTTGTGTTCAACACCCTTTAAAAATGTTTTTGAAAAATTTATTGACAATGCACGAGATAGTGCCTGGCTCGTGGAGAGCGCAGATAGACCACGCCCCCTCAGCGTCCCAAGTTGGCCGTGAATCAGCTATAGTTCTTTTTTTTTTAATTTCTTATTAAGGCGTTTTTGGAATTTTCATATGATAGTGAATATCTTTTCCGCTTGCTTGAATGGTCTTTCTGAATGTTTTGAAGGCGCAAAAGTTTTGGTTGAGGTCAGGAACGGCTCTTCGTCTCGAGACCTTCATGGAATGAGCTTCTACTTCTTTTGAACCCGCGGAAATATTTTTCGAACTGGAAAACTCTAAAATTGAATATTTTCCGTTTCTACTCATGAAAGCTGTAACAGTGCAATGATGTGAAGAAAAACGAAACTTTCTTGTTAATCTTTTGGTAAAAAAATGTCAAATGAGTCGTTTTTTTTTATAGTGGTAATTTTTTTTAAAAATTTGAAGTTTCTCAGTTCAAAATTGTTTAGTGTCCGAAGTTTCCAATCTCGCCTGAGATTTGATCCGACGCCCGTCAGCCCTGCCCAAGCTGGGCGTCGTACTGTCTCTATATGGTGAAGCAGTCATCGTAAAAAGGCTCAAAATCGTCTACCACTACAACAAAAAAAGCGAGATGCTCTTCGCCACGCCGTTTTTTTGGCGACGCCCCGCCCATAAGTTTTCCGTAAAGTGTAATATGTCGTGTGCATGCACCGCCGTGCTGTCGCACATGCCACGTTCGAAGTACTTTTTCGCAAATATCAAAATTATATCTGAATCAAAAACCAAATATTGGCGCTCCAAAAAGGACTTTGTGTTTTTTACAATAAATGTTGAGTTAAATTTTTAATTTCACGAGAAATTAAAATATGTTGAATGCGAAATAGTATTCTTTGATGCATTTCGGGCAAAAATGAAAAAAATTGAGAAACTTGAAAAAAATAGAAATTTAAAAACCGAACCGACCGCCTTTTTTTCAGCGTGTTCATCGTACAATGCCTTTCCCTTTGGAATTGGGGAAAAACTTTTTTTAAAAAAAGCTTCAAAAAAATCATAGAAATTTTTATGAAAAAAAGCTTCAAGGCATCCAATAGAAAAAAAGCAAAATGACCAATCAATTTCTCAATCCAATTCAAGTTCCCCCGTAGCTTTTTTTAAATTTTTTTCAAATATCGAGCTCGATTTTCACTGCTAATGAGGCTAGAAAAATCAAAATAAATACATTTATCCACAGTCTACCTTTACAAAACTGAGATCCAAGTTATATTGAGAAGGAAATCGAAATCAGCATCCCCAGACGGCGGCGCTGCCACCGCAAGAAGCGTAGAAACCGTCGGCACTTTTGACGGCCGAGTAAGGATATCCGTTGGCTTGTTGGTAGGATCCCAGGGCGTAGTTGTAAGCCGGATACGGGTCGATAGGGGCGGATTCGACGGAGATCAAGAAGAATATCAGCAGAAAGAGGAAATTAAATTGCATCTTTTTCAGGAACTTCCATCAGAAAGAGGTCTTTTATACTCCAACATTAACTGGTCCAATCCGTTCTTTGGAGTGGGCGGAGCGTCGACCGTACCACCGTGAGAAAATGACGTCGTTCTCAGAGTTCTTCCTCCTTTAAAGGCCCGAGGACCGGTTCTCTTTGTCATCCAAAATAGAAGAGGAACGGTTCAGGGTAGATAGTAGGATGGTTTACGGCTTTTGATCCCATGATGGAAAAGTAGGAAAGCTGTTTCTGAGCAGAACCGTATTGGTTGAATCATGTCTGGCTTTTTTTTTTGAATTCTGAGAGGTTTTTTGAGCTGAACTGAATAGCTTGAACCAATAACTATAAGTTTATTCAGAAACCGTTGTTAGCGGCAAAAATTTTAGTGGTCACTATAGGGTTTTGACGTTTTAGTGACCGCTTAAGTGACTAAAATTTAGTGACCTCTTTAGAAGTCTGGTTGTACTACTAGACCAATCAAAAGCAAAAAAGCGGCTTCTATAAGGGTAGTTTTAGTGGCCACTTTAGTGTCTTCTCCAAGTAATCCTCGGCGAGCCTCTTAAGTGGCCGCTAGAGTTTTTTACAGTAGCTGAACACAGCAAAGTACATTGCTAAGAACTTCTTGAGAATTTCTTGTCTTAGAGCCGTTTTCAGTTCGATTTCAGGCCCTGAGAGGATAAATTTTCAAAAAAAAATTTTCTTTATACACGATTTTCTTACAGAAAATTAGTCTATTGGTTTTTTTAAATGAACTTTTTTCAAGTTGAAAAACAAACCTCTGAGAAATAATTTTCAACTGGTTCGTATGTTTACATTTTTGAACTTCCAGGGAACTTGAGCTTTTCCAACCTATCTGCGCTCTCTTTTCTCTCAATTAGAGTTTTAAGTTTATTTATAAAAAGTTCGCACTTTCCAAAAGTTTGGTGTGTTCTTTGGGGTCATTGTATCGAAAAGAACTGGAAAAATCACTCGGTTCAATTTTCTGAACGTTCTTTGTGGCGCACGGGACTTTCATGAGGATTCTTCGTGAAGGTATACAGTATCCTCCTTTGTTTGGGCCTCCGAACGCTCGATTTCAAGAAGTTACTCCAAAAAAGGACGAAATTTGATTTTTCTGCTCAAATTTTTTTCGAGGAAAAATAACTTATAACGAAAACAGAAATTTTTTTGAAACTGAAGACCTTGGCCAGTTTTTATTCAGCTCAGCTTTTTGTTGGTAGAAAAAGGCTACATTTTTTTAAAAATTAATTCCCTTAAAAATTGTTTCATTTATTTTGATCTCTTCTATAAGCATTTTATTTCAAATTAACTAACTTCAAAGACTTTTTTCACTTGACTGCACATTGTTTTATGAACTTTACTGCAATCATTTACATTTACAGGGTGACAAATAAATATTGAAACGCGTTTGAAACGTTATAACTTTCTCAAAAGTCAACCAAACACCACCAAATCTGGAACAAATTTTATTCATACAATATAGAAACAAAATTCAAGAATAGTTTTCGAAACGTCCTCCTTTAGCTTTGATAACGGCCTTCAGTCTCTTCGGATACGCATCGATCCCGGCACGAAGGTGGTCGTCGTCGATTTCGTCCCATTTCTTGATGAGCGTAGAAAAAAACCTCATAGAAGGCTCAGAAAGGGCCCCTATATTGCTGACTCACGGCTGGCTCGAGCCATCGAAAAACGGGTCCTGACGCGATAATAAAAGAGATAGTGTATAATTGGTGGAGAGCGCAGACAGGACACGCCCCCTCAGCGTCCCAAGCTGGCCGTGAATCAGCTATAGCTGTATTCAGAAAAGAAAGACGAGATGAACTACCTAAAGTGACCCAGTAAAAAAAATAACCCTTTTTCTTTTTTTCAATACTGGAAGGAATTTCTCCCCTAATAATTTCCAACACAAAAAATCATCAAAAAGACATGCTTTCCACTTTTTTGAACCAATTTGCTTCACTAGGAAAAAAGTTAGCTTTTTACGGTATTTCCTCCACTATAACCCTGAAAATAGGCGGAGCTTATCAGAAACCGGTGCTTCAAATTGAGAAGGCTTTCTAGTTTCTGTGACATCAAGACCAGGCTCCAAGATCTACCTCGAAATAATTGTACCAAGAGATTTTCGGAACGTGGGTCAATCAAATAAAATCATTTATTCTGTTGTGTTAGTCAGATAAAATCGACGAGGCGGTGAACAAGAAGATTTGAAGCTGTAACGAACAACCGCCTTTGGCGAACTGGAAGTCCAAACGTGTAGTTGATCATCTTGAAAGCATGGTCTTACGGTCCTTGACCTCGTTCTTCTGGTAGTCCGTTCAGATGCGCCTTGACGTGCTTAGAATGTAGCGGGCCTTGTGCTGGAGCCCTGAGACCGTGCTCTTTGATGCTTCGGAATGAGAGCGACCACTTCGAGTGAAGACTTTACACGGAATCATAGGAGGAAAATCGTCAGCGGAGATCAACTTTTGCAATCATGAGCTTCTCTTGCGTCATTCTCATTCTCAGAGAGGAAGGCAAGTTCGGTTAAGGTTCTTCCTGCAAATGTTCCTTGTTCAAATATTCAATCCACAACAGGAAAAACAATATTTATTCATGATGATTACTCGTATAAGAAAGACATGAGATCAAATATGAAATTTTTGGTAGATTTCTCGACGAAATCAGCATCCCCAGACGGCGGCCGTGCCACCGCAAGAAGCGTAGAAACCGTCGGCACTTTTGACGGCCGAGTAAGGATATCCGTTGGCTTGTTGGTAGGATCCCAGGGCGTAGGAATAGGCCGGGAATGGGTCGAAAATGGCGCCGTTGACCAGGGAAGTCGAGAAAAAGAAGATGATCAGAAAACAGAAGACGTTGGTCTGATTGAACTGCATCTTTTTGGAAGTGGATTTGAGTTGTGGAAGTGGAAAGAGGGTATCTACCAAATCATTTCCATTGGTTTATATACCTTTCCTCAGAACCGTTCTTCGAAAGAGGCGGAGCTTGGTCCACGCCGTGAGAAAATGACGTTTTCTTAACATTTTGTCAGCCTTCGAAGACCTGGAGACAGGTTTTCAAAGTCAACCAAACAACACGTGAAACAGTTTGAGGAAGTTTGTAGGCTAGGTAAAGGTTAATTTGCGGAATCGTTTGTCAACAATGACTATAACAAGATCACATTTTTGAACTTACGAAAAAAGGTTATTTGACCTCAAAAAAAAAGAACTGAAAAAGCCCAAAACTTTTTTTGCAGTGTTTTCAAAATTTGTACCCAGAATTTTTCAGGAGCCCGTGCTAAAACGAAGTAGCTAATTTTGGGGACCAACTGAAGCTTATATGTAGGTTTTATAATTTTGTAATCACAAGTCCAGAGTGCTCCCTTAAAGAGAACATGCACGGTTATTGTTACGCACTCTATGAGAAGAAGCAGGCAAGAAACTCAATAAATGAGCGTTATTCGAATGAAAGTTATCAATAGAAAATGAATTGATCAAGCTCGTCTTCGAATTTTCCAATCTGAACAAAAAATTGAAAGACCCTACAAGGATCTCTTCAGGGACTTGGGGATCACACTCTAAACCCCTACGGTGACACCTCGAGTTTACCCTATAGAGACTTTTCTTTCCCCTAGTCCTATAGATACCACACTGGCGTTTTTAAGGGCTACGGTAATTCCAAACTCATCTGATTTATTTATTATTGTTTTTCCTTTCAAAGTTTGTTTATTCTGATGGGAGAGATGTTTGTGAGTTCAGAGAACCCTCATTGCGCCACCGTACACTTCAGAGAACTACCAATCGAACGGGGTTTTCTCAAACACCACAGTTATTTTTCTTCCAGTCTTAGAAGGGTCCGAACCGTTCACCCCAAAGAACGTCCACGCGAGGAAAAAAGTGTCTTCTTTCCACTTCCCTCTGATCAACTAGAATAAATCAAGCAGTGGTCGTCAAATACGGCCTACAACTAGAGACTACAAGGCTACGAAAATCGAAAAACCGTTTCTCGCGTTCTATATTTGACAACAAAAACCTGTCCCCAAGTCTTCGAAAGCTGACAAAATGTTAAGGAAACGTCATTTTCTCACGGCGTGGACCAAGCTCCGCCTCTTTCAGAGAACGGTTTCGCGAAAAGGTATATAAACCAAGGGAAACCATTCATTAGACACCCTCCTTCCACTTCCAAAACTCAAATCCACTTCCAAAAAGATGCAGTTCAATCAGACCAACGTCTTCTGTTTTCTGATCATCTTCTTTTTCTCGACTTCCCTGGTCAACGGCGCCATTTTCGACCCATTCCCGGCCTATTCCTACGCCCTGGGATCCTACCAACAAGCCAACGGATATCCTTACTCGGCCGTCAAAAGTGCCGACGGTTTCTACGCTTCTTGCGGTGGCACGGCCGCCGTCTGGGGATGCTGATTTCGTTCAGAAATCTTCCAAAAATGTCATGTTCGATCTCATGTCTTTCTTATACGAGTAATCATCATGAATAAATATTGCTTTTTTTTCCTGTTATGGATTGAATATCAAACAAAGGACATTGAAAAAGAGTAAAAATCGTAAAAGAAGTCGCATTCTTCGTGAGAAGTAGAATGATGCAAGAAAAGCTCATGATTGCAACAGATGCAACCGTTTAAAAATTCTTTTTTTTACCACATTTTCATGTGTAATCATTATTTTTTGATTTCTATTATGTTGATGAAAGCAAATAGGGTTCGGAGAACTTTGATCAAACTACGAAGACCCTAAAACGGGATGTTATTTTACTTTGCGATTTGGAATATTCTACAAATTTGCTCAAACACTCTCTGAATTTCTATTATAGCCGCTACCTGCCCATAGTATAATGATTTAAAAGTTTGCGTTCAACACAAAATTGGAGCCCACAAGGGGGTCATTTTAATTTGCGACTTGAAAATTTCTGAAATTTTGATCAAATAGTCTTTGAAGGTTTAAATTAAGCCTGCTCCAGCTTCTAGTTCTTGAGATAACTAATTTTGGAGGTCGAAAATTAGGCCAACCTATTTTTCGAAACTTTGGTAAATCATATCTCAAAAACTAGAAGTTTGCGCAGGTAGGGGCAATAAAGGACTTTTATTAAGACATTCCGAGAGCGTTTGAGCAAATTTGTAGAAAATTCCAAACCGAAAAGTAAAATGACCTACTTGTAAGAACCACCAAGTTAAAGGGTTTTCCCCTCAAGTAGAGTAGCCCTGTTTCTAAAAAGTACTTTTGGGAGACCAATTTTCTTTGTCTTACAAAAGAGATAAACAACATAGTTCGCCTGTCGCAACCATGACATCTCACTCTGATTCTCACGTAGAAATACAAGTTCGGTTATGGTTCTTCTTGCAAATGTTCCTTGTTCAAATATTCAATCCACAACAGGAAAAAAAAATATTTATTTATAATAATTACTCGTATGAAAAGGACATGAGATCAAATATGAAATTTTTGGTAGATTTCTCGACGAAATCAGCATCCCCAGACGGCGGCCGTGCCACCGCAAGAAGCGTAGAAACCGTCGGCACTTTTGACGGCCGAGTAAGGATATCCGTTGGCTTGTTGGTAGGATCCCAGGGCGTAGGAATAGGCCGGGAATGGGTCGAAAATGGCGCCGTTGACCAGGGAAGTCGAGAAGAAGAAGATGATCAGAAGGCAGAAGACGTTGGTCTGATTGAACTGCATCTTTTTGGAAGTGGATTTGAGTTGTGGAAATGGAAGGAGAATGTCTATTGAATGGTTTCCATGGGTTTATATACCTTTCCTCCAAACCGTTCTCAGAAAGGGGCGGAGCTTGGTCCACGCCGTGAGAAAATGACGTTTCCTTAACATTTTGTCAGCCTTCGAAGACTTGGGGACAGGTTTTTGTTGTCAAATATAGAACGCAAGAAACGGTTTTCTGATTTTCGTAGCCTTGTAGTCTCTAGTTGTAGGCCGTATTTGACGATCACTGCTTGATTTATTCTAGTTGATCAGAGGGAAGTAGAAAGAAGGCACTTTTTTCTTCGCGTGGACGTTCTTTGAGGTGACCGGTTCGGACCCTCTCTAACACTGAAAAAAAGGAACTGTGGTGTTTGAGAAAACCCCGTCCGGTTGGTAGTTCTTTGAAGTTTACGGTGGCGCAGTGAGGGTTCTCTGAACTATCACAGACAGCTCTTCCATCAGAATAAACAAAATTTGAAAGGAAAAAAATAATAACCAAATCTGATAAGATCATAATTACCGAACTTCTCAGGAACGTCAGAGTGGTCCCTATAGGGGTAGCGTAAAAAACTGCCCCCTCAGGGATAAAATTAAGATGTTCTCGACTGGGGTTTAGAGTCTGACTTCTATGTCCCTGAAGCTCAAGTGGCCCTCATAGGGTCTTTCAATTTTTTGTTCAGATTTGAAAATTGGAAGACAAACTTGATCAATTCATTTTCTATTGATAATTTTCATTCGAATAACGCTAATTTATTGAGTTTCTTGCCTGCTTCTTCTCATGGAGTCCATAACAATAATCGTTTAGCATGTTCTCTATATAGGTTACTTTTGCGAGCTATAGTGGCTTTGATCATAGAAATGTGATCTTGTTATAGTCATTGTTGACAAACAATTCTGCAAATTAACCTTTACCTAGCCTACAAACTTCCTTAAACTGGTTCACGTGTTGTTTGGTTGACTTTGAAAACCTGTCTCCAGGTCTTCGAAGGCTGACAAAATGTTAAGGAAACGTCATTTTCTCACGGCGTGGACCAAGCTCCGCCCCTTTCAAAGAACGGTTTCGAGGAAGGTATATAAACCCATGGAAACCATTCAATAGACATTCTCCTTCCATTTCCACAACTCAAATCCACTTCCAAAAAGATGCAGTTCAATCAGACCAACGTCTTCTGCCTTCTGATCATCTTCTTCTTCTCGACTTCCCTGGTCAACGGCGCCATTTTCGACCCATTCCCGGCCTATTCCTACGCCCTGGGATCCTACCAACAAGCCAACGGATATCCTTACTCGGCCGTCAAAAGTGCCGACGGTTTCTACGCTTCTTGCGGTGGCACGGCCGCCGTCTGGGGATGCTGATTTCGTTCAGAAATCTTCCAAAAATGTCATATTTGATCTCATGTCCTTTTCATACGAGTAAATATTATGAATAAATTTTGTTTTTCTTCCTGTTATGGATTTAATATGAAACAAAGGACATTGACAAAGAGTGAAAGTCGTAAAAGAAGTCGCCTTATTCCCGAAGTTAAGTGATGCAAGAAAAGCTCATGATTGCAACAATTGGTCTCCGTAAATGATCTCCTTCGTAAGAAGCCTGTCAAACAAGAAAATAACAAGATTCTAAAAAAATTGTATAACCAGTTTTCCTGATATGAAAGGTAAGATGATAAAATAAGCAAGGTTGACGCGTTGCGTACGCGACGCGGCTTTTGGCAAGAACAGGTCCTTCTTATTCCACGTTTTTTTCCTTTTTCAACAATTTTTCAAATTACTTTTTCATTTTTTTATGTCTCGGAAATGTATTATAAACGTGAAATAGCAATTTAGAATCACAGAAAAAAACGCTGAAATTCACTTCCCATCTCAACAAAGATAATTAACAAATTTCCAAAAAGAAAAAGTTGTAATAAGCACATGATTTTTTGAAAATGGTTATTTTTCATTTTACATTCTCAAGCATCATTTTTCGATTTTATTTATTTTTATAAAAGGTAATTTCACGAGGGTGCAAAGAATCTCTATGAAAACGCCCAAAACTTCGAAGAACGACTAAAATAAAAAAGTACCGTACTCCTTTTTTGAAATAGTTTTAAGAGATCGCATTGGTCACCTTAAAGGAGATCAACCTGAAAAAAAATCGACCTTCTTTTCTTCTGATCTGACCAACTACAATAAATCAAGCAATCCTCGTCAACCACAGCCTACAACCACAGAGAGACTACACTCTTACGCTGCTTTCAATAAATGTATACTTCAAAAAAATTTATTTACAGCAACATATACTCGTATACAAGGGCATGAGATCGAATATGACATTTTTGGAAGATTTCTGAACGAAATCAGCATCCCCAGACGGCGGCCGTGCCACCGCAAGAAGCGTAGAAACCGTCGGCACTTTTGACGGCCGAGTAAGGATATCCGTTGGCTTGTTGGTAGGATCCCAGGGCGTAGGAATAGGCCGGGAATGGGTCGAAAATGGCGCCGTTGACCAGGGAAGTCGAGAAGAAGAAGATGATCAGAAGGCAGAAGACGTTGGTCTGATTGAACTGCATCTTTTGGAAGTAGATTTGAGTTGTGGAAGTGGAAGGAGGATGTCTTTTGCATGGTTTCCATGGGTTTATATACCTTCCTCGAAACCGTTCTTTGAAAGGGGCGGAACTTGGACCACGCCGTGAGAAAATGACGTTTCCTTAACATTTTGTCAGCCTTCGAAGACTTGGGGACAGGTTTTCGAAGTCAACCAAACAACATGGGAAACAGTTCGAGGCTACAGAAACTGAACGTCTTGAGAATGATGATAATGATAGATTGTTCTAGAATGAGTCATGGATCAGAAGGACTTGAAAAGACCCAATTTTCTTCTCGTAAATATCTTCACGTGAATAAGTTGCTAGGAGGTCTGTGATCTTCTCAACTCCCTCATTAAAGGGCCGGTTTCTTCGGATCGTTCTTTAGAGTCCGTGAGGGTTCTCTGGACCTTTTTAAATCGATAGAAGGTTTGAAAAAACTCCAGAAAGTCGAAATATCGATTTTGCTGCATCTGCATCATGTTTTGACCTCCCGCAGTTGTGGATGTGTAAAAAAAGAAAGAAATTGCTCAACACCTGACTCTTTTGCACGCACAAAATCCTCATTTCGCAAACCTTCACCCTTCGCATTTTTCTCGTTTCTTCTTATTTTCTCGATTCTTTCTCAAAATGGAGTGAGGAGAGCACTTTTGCTTTTGTTTGAACTTGACAACATTTACGATATTTGCAAACGCGCATCGAAATGTCTTCAAAAGCGTCCTTTTCCTTCATTTCGCAACGCTGTCCTTTATTTTACGTGGAGTTGTTCTACGTAGCCGGTTCATTTCTCATCAATAACGATTTCCTAGTTCGTCAGCTTCTTAACCAATCATGGAAAACATCTCGAAGGTGATGTTGAAAGTAATTGTGTTTCGGAAAAGGTCATTCGTTTAATAAAGATCCTTAGAATTTTTTGAAATGCTTAAAAATTGTTTCGGGAGGATGAAATCGACGAATCTAGAGCTCGAAATTCAGTTTTAATCGATCAATAAATTTATCCTCAGTTGAAAATGAACTGTATCAAATCGTTCAAAACTTGCGAAAGTCTATCAGAACTTGAAAAAAATCATCCAAATCCATTAAAACTTCAAAAAAAGAACCTGACTTGCCCTTTTCATTAGTATCCTTCCTCAAATGATAAAATAATGATAATTTATTCAGATGGTGGAAAAAGTGGTGGCCTCGTACGATTTCGCCGGCCTCATCAACAACACTCGTCTCATTCAGCTAATTTGTGCCATTTTGCAGGTTGATTTTTCTCGGAAAGTGCGCTCTAACGGACTATGATATCAATGGTCAGGCCTCGGTTACGCAAGCCGGGTGCGCCTTGGACTTTTCTGAGCTTTTCTGACACCACTAAAGGGATCACTGAAAAGCTCAAAAACGTGCGGGGTGCGTCCGATTTGCGTTACCAAAGCTCGAAACAGCTATCTTTCAAAGGTTCAACTGATAAAGTTCACTGGAGCACAGTTTGTTTTCTTTAATAAAATATAAAAGGGTCCTGAAAAAATCGGCAACAGTAATGTGCTTTAGAAATTATATTGATCAATTTTAAAATGTTTCAACTAGTTATTTTGTTCAAAAGATACTTTATAAGGTGTTCGAAAGATCTAGGATTGTTTCATGTTTGAGTCTCAAAGCGATTACAAATATTTTCCTTTTTTGATCATTTTTGAACTATTACGAAAAGCAAAAATGTTCAATTATCTAAGTTCTTATCATTATTTTCGTTAGTTCGCTTGAAAAAATACTACAAAGGCGTCTAAAACTCTTAGTTTTGCACACTATTTCCTCAATCTTTAAGAATTTCGCAAAGGCAGAGGTGAATGGACTATTACCTCGGACATTGGTAATGCGAATTGGACACGTCGGGGCACTTCTAGTGACCACTTTAGTAGCGGCAGAACTCTTAAGTGATTCCTAGGAATGCTTAGAAACGCGTACGGTTTTTCGTTAAAAGGGATCCGAGAAGTTTATAGTCAATTTTTAATCTTACAATATTCAAAAAAATAATCCTTTTTTTAAACATATGAGCAAAAATTTCTTGAAAATTTATTAAAAGTTCCATGAGCGCTTAAAATAAACCGTCCAAACCAGCGGTGAATGAACTATAATTCTGACTTTTCCATAATTTTCACTCTTCTCAATTAATAAATCATTTTGAAGATCTTCCTCGTCTACACGGAATCCGGCTCGTTGTCCCTGTTCACCTTCCTCACCTACTCGGTTATCATTGGCTTCCTCGCCGTTCATCTTTTCCGTAGATGGTTCTTTTTATCTTTTTATGATTCATTTATTTATTTTATTTCTCTCATTCAAACAAAAAAATACAGGATGTACCTCTTAAGAACGCCAGAGTGGTCCCTAGAGAGGTTGAGAGAAAAACGGTTCCTATAGGGAAGAAAATAGTTCTCCCTTAAGAAGTAAAACTTAGGTGGTCTCTATAGAAGTTCAGGGTCTAACTTCCAAGCCCCCAGAGCTGAAGTGATCCCTATAGGGGTTTTTGGTTTTTTGTTTTTTGTGTATTATTTAGCTTTTTGCATGGAAAAGTTACAAGACAACAAACGAGTAGCATTTTCCCCTAAAGTTGCAACTAAAAAAACCCCTAGAGTGAGCACTTTTTCAAAGAAGAACATATTTCGGCTTAAAACTCATTTTCAGTTACTTTAAAAATCTTATTATCATTACTAAAAGGTAAAAGAATCTTTAGAGAAAGTTCGATTAAATTAAAATTCATGGGAAATTTCAAACTTAACTCTTAAAATTACCTCCCTTGTCAGATGTCAGAGTGTTTCAGATCGTAAAAAAATTTGAAAAAAAAATTTTTTACTTCCCTATAAAATTCAAAAAAATTGAGGTACTACAATATCGACGGACGGTACGATGTTAGACAAATGCTGCGCGAGTCGGAAACTTCCCTTCGTGTACAGTATGCCGTTGGTGAGGATTTGCACTTAATATTGCTGAAAAAAACTAAAACTCTTTGTAAATCGGTGTAAAAACAGGAAAGTGGAGCAATTATAAAATTAAGGGGAGAGATTATTCCAAAAAATGTTTTTTTTTCTAAAACTCGAAATTTTGGAATTTTCTGAAAGTTTCTTCAAAGTCCTCAGGAGATCCAAATAAAAAGCCTTCAGATGCAATTTCAATTTTAAAATATCTGGTTCGAAATTGAAGACTATACTTATTGAAAAAGAAATAAAATAAAAGTCCAAATGACTTGAAAAACTGATTTCTCAGTGCCAAAGCTTGAAATCGAATTCGTTTTTGACTTTTCAATCTTCAAGCCCAGTTTCTCACCATGAGTTCAAGTTAAGAACGAATTTAGTCCAGAATGTGGGGTTAATTTACAAAAATTCGGATCATACATCGCCTGGATCCCACCCCAGCCTTTTGCGCGCGAAAAAAAAAATTTGAAAATTTACTGGAGTAAGCCGCATCTAAGGGGGTTAGGCCACACCCCGGGGTGCGATCCAGCCGAAGTATGATTTGAATGGATGAAATTAAAGAAAAAAAGGTTAAACCCAAGGAAGTTAGGGTTGAAAGGGATGAATTAAGTATCGTCCTCTTCAAAGATTTCCTTGTATTAAATAAATTTTTTTACAAGCTTTGAGGAGTTTCGAAAAGCTAAAAACCTGGAAAAATCTTGAGATTCTTTAAAGCAGTGTTCATAAAAAGAAAAACGAGTCAAAAAGGCCGGAAAAGAGCTTTTGAAAACCTTTCTAACGTGTTTTTTAAATTTGAAATAGTTCTCATGTCGGAAAGAAGACCTAGAAGAGATCTGGATGGCTGTTGAAAAAAGTTCCCATATGTATAATAGAAGTTTAAAAAAATCCAGCAGAAAAAACTTGAAATTTTCTTTTTGGTAATCGTGGTGGTTTCCACAGATATGACTTGTAAAACGAAACACTTTCAAAATGATAAAATCTCAAAAAAATTTTTACAGCCCTATTCGCGCCCCTGCTCCTGGGCCTGCTGACGTGGTGGCTGGTGGTGCTGAACAACGGGCTGGTCCACGTTCTGTTCTTCTTCTCCTGCTTCGCCCAAATCCTCGCCGCCGTCGTCCAACTCTTCTTCGAGTTCTACGAAGTCGTCTACAAGTCCCAATGAAACTTTTCAATCGATAAACATTTTTTTATTTTTGTTTTTTGTTATTTTGAGGGGGAAGGAAGAAGTAGTGCTCTTTAGCAATGAGCTCCTTAGATGGAATCACAAATTAATTTTTTTTCAGCCAAGAGAAGTTCCTTAAAAATGGTTACCCTTTTTCCAGTGATAACTCCCGGGGAAATTACTCTGAATAGAAAATTTCTTTTCAACGATTGCCTCAAAAAAGTTACCTCAAACTTTTTTTCAGTTATAGCAACCCCCTTTTTTCCAAGATAAACCCTCGAACTTGACCTTAAATAGAAGCTGTATTCATTTTGAACGGGCTACAAGTATGTAGCGGTCGGGTGTCGAATCCGGGCCAAAAAGGATCACATTGGTGAGTTGCAAAAAAAGTCAAGCCACCTAGGGGACTCGAACCCCTGACCGTTAGATTAAAAGTCTAACGCTCTACCAACTGAGCTAAGGAGGCTCACGCAGGCGAGCCCTTCCTTTTTTAGTAAGATAGAAGTGGAATACTCGCGCAAAGTCGGAATATTGGATAATGGCCGATAAACGGCAGCAAAGAGAATCTTCAAAGGCTCAAGAAATGTTGGAAAAGAGAGAGGAAGCAAAAATGGTGCATAAGGGCTGAGAAAATGGCGCAAAAAGGCCGCAAAATGGAGCCTCGGTCAAAGGAACATTTCTATGAAAACTTTTCTTACCTTTCCGACTTTGCCTATTTAAAAAAAAACCTGCTTTTTTTTCGAAATTCTCCGCATTTTCCTTATCGTCACTAGAACAACCATCAAACCCATGTCAAGTCCGAAAAGAACAAAATTTGCATAATAAAGAGGCGAAAATCGGCGCCGCTCAAGTGGACCCTCGAAAAAGCATCAAGTGTCACCCATCTGCTGCTGCTCTTTTTTCCAAAGACAAAAAAAAATCATTTTGCACAAAAAGCAAGTTTCGGGAATTGGATTTGAAGACGAGTCGAACAATTTCAAACTGCTTCGAAAATCAAATTTTTTGCTTGCATCTTTTGTAGCTCCCAATGGAAAAAAAAAGAAAGAGAAAGGAAATTTTTCATTTTTAGAAGAAAAAAACGAATTTTTGAAAAAAGTCCATATCAGAAAAAAATCACATCAAAGTTAGATCGACCAAAAAAATGAAAAAAAACTAAAACCTGAGGAGTCGAATTTTCAATATTTAAAATTTTTGAGGCTTTTCCGAAACTTTTCTTTGTCCTTCGCAGCCGAATTTTGGATCTTTAAGTTAATTCACAATAATCAAACTATTTTTGTAGTTCAAAAAAATTGGTCCCTACCAGTTTTTCAGATGAAAGCTAGTGCTAGAAACAGTTGATGAGTTGAACATTTTTCATTTTTTCCGCCTTTTTTTTGAAAGAAAATTTCTACCTATTCCAGTCCATTTTTTAAAAATAAATTTCTTCAAGCTCAATGGAGCAAAAGTGTACTGAATCATTAAATAAGTCTGATTTATTTTCCCTCGAAGTTTGCAAAATTCATTCGCGCTGCGGTCGCGTCGCGGTTTACTATGTTTTAAATTAAATTTAGAAGTTTTCTTGGTCCGACTTGCATATATTTGAAAAAAAAAACCCATTTTCCCTCGAAAATCCGTTTTAGCCATGAGAACCTAAGAATTTTAAAATTTATAGTCGATGTGCCACAAGTTGAAATTTCATGGAACGACACTCCGCTGTTTCCATTTGTGCGGTAGCGCGCGTCTTGCGAATTTGCCAACCTCGGCCACGCTAATTTTTTTTTTTTGGTTCTAATTCTGATTTTGATCGTTTTTTAATTGTTTTATGTCTTCAAAATGTATTATTATCGTTGCAAAGAATTGTGTTGTACAAATGTAAACAAAAAGAACACAGCAAATTACATAATCTTTCTCGAAAAAAGCGATAAAAAAAAGTTTGAAAAACTTCATGTATTCGTCAATCGCTTTAATATTGTTTTTCTCGTTTCTCAAAAAAGGTTTCAAAGGTTTACCAAAAAAAGATTTGCGGGTGAAATAGGCCGCAAACACCACAATATTCTACAAAAGTTTCTGTGTTTTTTTTAAGGCCATGTTTTAATTTTTTCATCGTTTTTTTTTCTGTTTGCAGTCGTTAATGGTTTTTTTTTCAGAAATTGAGTGTCTTATAGAATGAAGACGTTTACTTCCATGAGCACATGCACCATAATTTGAAGAAAGGTTTTCGTTCCTTTTTTTTAAATGAAGCTTTAGATAAATCGTATTGCTGAACTTTACGTCAGAAATGGGGCGTGATTGGAACAGTGGAAACGATGTGCTGAACGAAATGTCCAGCAAACTAATAATTTTTTTCCTTTGAACTTATTTATCTGTAAATAAATTTCGTCGATGTAGAAACATTCAATTTTTTTAAATCATTCACTGTGTATTTTATTTCTGATTGGGATATTTTTTTACATTATTGAAATGAAAAAAAGGAATGTCGATAAAGGCTCAATGAAGGTAAAATAACGGAATATATTGAACAAAACCAAAAACCATCTCATGAAAAAAACTTTCAAATATTATAAACGCATTTTTCTCTTTAAATTCGAAAAATTACTCTACTTTATTTTTTTATCAATGAAACAGTCTATCCACTAGAAAAAGATAATTATGAGTTTGGCACGGAGAAAACTATTAAAAACATAATTAAAATAATGAAAATTTTCAAATGAAAGAAAAAATGGAAAGCGCGACTGAAATTCGCAAAGGCAAGGCGCTTTCACGGCCACGGCCACCCAACGGAGTGTCGTTCCATGAAATTTCAAGTCGTGGCACATCGACTATACCAACTCTCATTAACTTTTATCAAAAACCATCCATCTATGTTTATTCAGAATCACTTGTAGCAATGAAAATGAGGAGAAATATTGGAAAACATCAAATTTCTCTGCGCTGCGGTCGCGTCGCGGTTCACCCTCTTTTGGATGACAATTTCAAATTTTCTTTTCTCTTCTTTCATTCCTTTTTCATCAGAAACTCTTCAGTTTGTTCATCGAAAACCAATTTCACAGACATGTTTAGTAGAAAATTTCAAAATTTCCCTGCGTTGCGGTCGCGTCGCGGCCCTCATACGAAGCCAACTTTTCAACTCCCAATTGCTTACCAAAAACGAAACATTACATCAGGACGGCGGCGCCGAACGGGCAATGAATCATGAAAACAAATGGCTTCAGCGTTTTTCATCCCGCAAAAAGTGGGCGTGTCGATGGCGCTCGGCCAGGCTCCGCCCCCCGTCTCCCTGAGGCGAAAAAGAAGATCTCACGCGACGCTTCCTTCCTCCAACATCAGCTTCAACACGCACACGGAATCATTCTAATTCTTTAATTTTTGCTTTGAGCTGGCTATATTGCTCATGATAGCTGATCATTGAGGGAAAAATGATTCTTTATTCGGCTGCTTTTTTGGTTTTAATTTTCGCCGGTCCTGTCTACAGTGCGATGAGCTGCTTGGTTATGAGGCCTGGTACGTTTTTATTGGATTTTCTTTGATTTTTTGATTTTTTTTTAAAATGATTCTCCATCCACACGTGATCTTGCTTGAGAAATTACTGAAGATGGGCACTTAAAAAAATCAATTCATCTGGAATAGTAAATCTTAGCTACGATGAGCAACACGCACTTTTTCTTATTTAAAAAAACGGGCGTAATATGAGCAACAAACTCTAATGAGTTTTGATTGACCTAATGAGTTTACTGTACACACGGTTTTACATGAGCAATAAATTATCTAAAAGTTGAGCTTTCGCTCTAACATGAGCAATATTTTTAGAGGGAGCTGATTTTCAGAAGCATATTTTGAGGCCAAAAACCAATAAACCAAGGATTCTGTACATCAAAAAATTATCATAAGTCAATCCCCCTAACTTGGCTAACATGAGCAATAGCCTAGGTATAGCCAATTTTTGGAAAAATTTTTTTGAAGCTAAAAGTCAATTAACGAAAAATTCAGTTCATCGAGAATAAATTATTTAAAAATTCAGCTAACATGAGCAATGCTTCTCATTGTTTAAAATGACTTTTGAAAAATTCCCAGACTTCCTAGGTGTCCCAGAGCTTCCTCTAACTCTCAACTAACAGTCCCAACTTGATGTTGCAATGTATATAGTCAAGAAAGCCGCTAAGCTGTCGGAACCGCCTTGGCGAGCCTCAGCATCTCCCCTAGGCTCCGCCCACTTTCGCAAACAAGCTCGTCGTCGCATTTACATGTGCATCCAGTGTGCTCTTTGTGTATGAGAGCGAAAGGCCCTTGTAAAGCGTCTGTAATATGAGCAATAAAAGTGAAGAGCCTCGTGGGATGATGGTTATTAGCCCACCAAGGAATATTCAGAATTTCTAAATCTTTGAGATAATGTGCCTCAAATTCCGTGAAAATAAGCCATTTTCAAACTTTGACTTCCAATTTTTCAAGCAGAAGATTGGGCCACTTGGGACTTTTCGGACTTCCAGCTGGCGCCTGACCGATTTTCGAAAAAACCACAAGCGCAAAGTCAAATCAGCTCCCTTCTCAGTTATAATTCAACAATTTTCGAAGAATCGAAATACAGTCCCTTTGAAATTTGCTTCAAAAGAGGCTCACCAAACTTTTGCCTAGTTAGAAAAATTCCCAAGGATGAAAAATATGCTTTGAAGGTACAGTAATTGTAACAGTTTTCGCTTTGAGACCTGTGTGAAACTTTTTTTGATCGTCAAAAAATTGAGAAGCTTAGTTTCAAATTTTTTTCACAAATAATCAGACCCATTTACTTTGCAATGATGAGACTGGCATGAAAATATCGCTGCTAATACTTTTCCTTATGAAAAAAGATCAAAAGCCCCTTTGAAACAATTGAAAAGAGCTTTATTTTAAGCTTCAAGTTCAGCAAAAAACGAGTAAATATTAAATAATATTATAAAGGTTCTTAGTTTGAAAATTTTGAAGTAAGTTCATTACTAACCGTCGAAATGGTTGAAACAGTGATTTTCGACGAAAAAAAAAACAACAGTCAATGAGGATGTGTCTTAAATCGATTCCTCACGATTACAATTACATTTGAATTTTTATGAGATTGGAAAAAGAACAAGTTTCTCCCGATTTAAAACCAACGCCTCAAAAAAAAAATCTTCCTTCATACGTGAAAGTCATGAAAATCATCTAAAAACTGCCTTTCATTTGTTCTTCTTCTTCTAAGGCGTCTAGATTTTGCGCATTAGGGCACGTTTTCTGGTGAAATGTGAGCCGCCCGTGGTGTCCCTTTCCGCTGGTTTTTTCGTCCCGTTTTTGTCCACCCACCTTCGTTTTTGTTTCATTGTGTTTCAGAGAAAAATTTGGTCGTGCTTTTGCGAATTTTTTCACAGGACTAGTAAAACTGTGAATGGGGGATTTGTTTGAAAAAATCCGCCAGAACATGGAATTATGAAATTTTGAAAATTCTTTTTGCCGTTTTTTTGAGATTGCGAATGTAACTTTTTTTGACAGCAGGACTTTCTTTTTGGACAGTACAATCTGACTGAAACATTTATATTTAAAATTTTATTGTTTTGATAACTTCTTTTAGCGTTTCGAAGCTTGTAGCTATGCTGAGGGGTTGTAGTTTTTTGGAAGGAAGAGAAAAATTATTTATTATGGTACTTTCAATGACTTTTTTTGGCACTTTTTTCCAACTCTCCTCCATCTGAATAGGGCATAGAAATATTAAAGATTAAAATTTGTTCTAAAAGTAATTTTGAAGTCGAAGAAAGGCCCCAATTTCGTAAAGGGGCTCGCTAGAGCTATTCTAGCCTTTTAGAAACATTTCAAAGTATGATAGATATTTCTTTGACTTCATCCAGTTAGTCTAAAAAGGAGGGGGTTGACAATTTTCAAAAAAACCTCGATTTCCTTTTTTTGAAATTCGGATATTCCCAACAGCCCATCCAAACCTAACGTCACAGCCAAAGAACAAAGAAACGGTTGCCCTCGGCATTTCGTACGGAAAACCCATCAAGACCTCAACAAATGATGGGATCGGCGTGCGTGAGTGTGTGTTGTGGGAAGCGACGTAAACCAACAAAAGTCGGTCGCTGACCGGTGCATATTACGGGGCTCATTCCCTTATACGTCCGTGTGTGCCCCAAATGACGGTTCAGAAACAAAGAACCTTTGAAAGGGCTACTAAATCTAGAGAACCTCGATCTGAAACCAGAAAACCTTTTGATAATATTTTATAATTCACAGAGCCCTCTTAACGTTTAAGAAATAATTTCCAGAAGCTTTTCATTTTTTTTTGTCTGCGGGGCTCATTCCATTATACAGTTCCGTTTTCTGATCACAACTCTCTTGTATGGAGTTTGATCTTTCTGAATCCTTCTGGAGTTGTGATGACTGTTGCTTGTAACACTCTGATGGGATTTTCATGCGCAGAAAAAAAATCGCAGTTTTATAGAGTTTCATAAAGATTGAGCTGCATACAACCAAAAAACAAATTTTCTTTTTGTTTTCTGACAGTATTGTACGTCTATGAGTGCTTTAAATGTTAATTCATTCACACAAGCTTCTTTTTTTTAAATAGACTTAGAGAATTTTCCGAAAGTTTCAACCTCACAAACACAAACAAATGATAACCTTTCTAGCTTCCTCTGCCAAATATCTCACATTTTCGAGCCACAAATTCAATTCGAGCCTCATCTATCTTTAAATTAGACCTTATAGACAATTCACGGCTAGCTTGGGACGCAAAAAGGCGTGCCCTGTCTGCACTCTCCAACAACCAGGGCACTGTCTCGTCTCTTTTCGTGGCAAGACCCTTTTCTCGATGGCTCAAGCCAGCCGTGAATCAGCTATATGTCTTTTGGAATTTTTAAAAAATACTACTAATTTGAAAATAGAGCTAGTCAATGAAAACATGTCAAAAACAGATTTGAAAATACGCCAGTTTCGAAATTCCTATACGTTTTTAGTTATTATTCAGAAGACCGTTCTTTTGAAAAGTATGGAAGTTTTCCATCTATTCGAACTTAATCATATTCGCTTTCTGCACAAAATCCTATTTTTCAAAACATGATTTTTCAAAAATGCGAAAAATAACTTTTGGACCAAATTCTGTGATAAAGGCAGCTTCAATAATGAAAAAAATTGGAAAAAAAGAAAAAAAGATCCTGAAGGATTTTCATAAAGTCTTCTGATGGATTTTTGAGCAACTTTATATTAAATTATGAGCTTTTTCATTGAAATAACGTCCCTTGTAAAGTGGAAAAATCGGTTTTGCGGGCAGAAATCAGGACAAAAAAAGCAGTATTTTGAATCTCATATCTCACGAAAGATGAATTTGCGCAAGCAGCCATTCTGAAGAATTTTCATAAGGCTTCGAAAAATTCCAAACTTCCCACTAAAATGACCTTCCTCGTTAGTTTCTTGACCACCCTCGTCTCAAAATGCGAATCCGAACCCGTCGCGAAAAGTTCGACAAAGGCGGCTAAATGGTGACTCGGCCACTGATTCGGTTATTTTGACGTCATCAGAGGGCCGGGGGTCAGAAGGCTAAGCCCATTTGGGGACGCGTGCAACTGCGCAATTTACTTGTAACCGACAAGGATTTGAGCTATTTCTGAGCAAGGAAGAGTTTCGCAACGGAACTTTTTAGGGTTTTGGAACATTTTCTTTGGCTGAAAAAAGTTGAAAAAAGGAAAAACTGTGGAGTTCCCAATGATTATGTACTGCAATATGCCACCTATTTTGCCCTTTTAGAGACTTTTCTAGACTCCTGAGTTTTCTGAAGCCAGTAGCTATCATCAAAAGCTTCAACTTTCAGAAAAAATTTTGAAAGGGCTTTGAAACGTTCAGAGCTTCATAGAGTTCTAGAAAACTTTTTTTCGGATGAAATAATTTCAAAAAAGCCCAAGTTTACGACACTTCTCAAGCATTACATAGTTAAAAAGAAAAAATCGATAGTTGAAATATTTTTCTTGAGTCTTTTTAAAGGCGCAGATGATTTTTTAAAAAATTTTCTTCAGAAATTTTTTTTCTAGAGATGATTAAGAATATCTCAGTGTCCTTCTATGACTTATTTTCGATTTTTTACATTTTTTTTCATGTCAACTTGAAAAAAATCATCCTTTTGGGCCTTTACATGGTTGAAATGCGTCCTTTAAAAGCGCGAAAATTTTTTTTCTGTTGGTTTTTTTTCCTATTTTCATCAGTTATATTATGAGAAAAAAATCCATCAAAACTGAAAAAAACCAAAAAAATTTCACAAAAAAACAATATTATTTTTTTCAATGCTTGCATGCAAACGATAGCATGAGTTAGTCTAAATTTTCAAATAGAAATTTAAAAAACAAATTAACTTCTCGTTCTTTTGAACCTTTTGGTCTTCCACTACAACACCGGCGCCTACTTCCTTCTGGAGTGGAAGAATTCTTCGAAAAGGAAGAAAATGACCTGCGATCGGGTTACAGGCCTTTTTCCCCTACACGGATTCATTTCTTGCACTTTTTTTTTGTTGCAAAAAAATGGACGTTTATCTAACGTTTGTCTGGCCATTTTTAAATTATTAAAGCTACACTGATTGATAGTCAGAAAAATCAGAAAAAATTCCAGAAGCAAGAAAAAAACATTCCTAAGCCGGTTTTTGAAGTCCTTTTTGTCTGGAAAGGTTGGAACGCCTAAGCTTAGAATGTAGACCCTCAAAAAAAAAGCACATGATAATTAGCTTAATGAACACATTCGAATACTCAATATTTTCCAAGACCCTTTTCTCCAACAAAAACAAATTCCCAAGCCGTTTATTACGAGCAAAATCGCAATATATCCAAATTTGGAGTGCCGAGAGTTGAAGCGTTGAGTGACAAAACGTCACTTCAACTCGCGGCCTTATTTTCCTCAATCTTTGCGATAAAACGCTGCGAAGTTTTCCGCAGATTGAAAAAGGGAAATTCCAGCTTTTTGGACAGACATAAAATGAAAAAAATAATAATGTTTTGAAAAAAAATAATAATAAACCAAAAAAATAAAACATAACTCAATAACCCTTTAAAGCCGTTGAACAGAAGCAAAAAGTCGAGAATCAGAAGGAATCGTTAAAAAAATCTACACTAAAAAAACAGAAAAAAATTTTTCGTAAAAAAATTCATCTTCCGCCGTTTGCAGTGGGGGCACACTTGCTCGCCCCTGAAACTATTGAGCGTTTTTCCTTTTTATTCAAACAGGGCTAACATTCACTTTGAAAACTGTATAAGTACGAACGATGAATTTTAAACGATGTGGATACTGGTATAACGGTGACGGAAGCCGCCGATTTGGTTTTATCAGGTTTCATCAAATTTTTTTAATTCAAGCTTTTTTTCAAATGTAACTTATTTTGGTATATAATTTTACGGAAACTTTAGTGGTATTTCAAAGTTTTTTTCCTGATTTCCTGATCGATTTTACGGAAAGCGATATACGAATTTCTTTTTTTTGAACCAAAAAAGACGAGCAACTAAGAAATTCAGAAAAAGTCATGATTTACAAAAGTTCAGTTGCAAGTTTCAAAATCATTAACTTCCTAACTTCAAAATCTTACATATCTGCGCATTAATTGACCGGAAAGGCCTTTTTCTCGCTAATTCCATTGCAACTTCTCCGGGCAGGCCGCCAATTCGTCGGCTCTAAATGGCCAAGACCCATCTGGCACCATCCGCCGGCCCTCCTCACCATTGTTACTATACTATGTAGAGTACGCACGCACTTGATGTGTCCGAGCAAGCTTTTCAACCAAAGGGAACGTTGGAAACTGTTAAAATGAGGGGATTGGGTACTTACAACTTGGGAAAAACCGGAAGAGTTCCCCAAAAAAGCAGTTTTATTTCACTTTTGCATCTTTTCCACATAATTCAATTAAAAAATGCTGAAAAGCAATTCAAAAGACTCCAGGTTTTTTAAAAAGAAGCGCAAAAGCTTTTCCTCATCATTTTAGGACCTCTATCTGAGGATCCTCGAAGGAATTTTCCCATTTTACCGAGAAGGAATGTCATTTCACTTTTCGGGTCGGATTCTCCTCGAATTTGGCCAAAATGATATTTGCCGTGCCTATTGAAGATTCTGAAAATTTCAACGTGTAAAACTTCCTAGTTTTTGAGAAATAAGGGGTCAAAGTCTCGAAATAAGCCTTTATGCAATTTTTTTTTGACTTTGAGGTGTATTTTCTCAAAAAGTAGGAAGTTGTGCACGTTGAGACTTCCCGAATATTTTTCTGGTACATCAAAGTAGTTTCTGGACAAATTTCAGGAGATTCCGAACGATAGAGTAAGACGGCCTTCCTTGTTAATTTACAGAAAATAATCGTTCGTGAATTTTTTTAAAAAAATTTCACAAGAACTTATTGACTAAAAAAACTTGGTTTTTTTCTCAGATTTTTTTCAAAAATTTAACTATAATATTCTTAACTATATGATGAACTTACTCAGAAAAAAGTTTTAGAACGTCAAAAAGGCCATACATTTCGGTTGGGGACCTCATAAGCTTAAAAATGCATGGAAATTGTCATTCTTCCTCTTCCCATGTATGTCGGTATGTAATCCGTTGAGTTTTTGGGGAACGCCCTTTTCGATTTTTTTGAAATGAGAACAAAAAAATAAGATCATTATCAAATAAGAAATAGCTAATTTTTTTCGAGTTTGAAGGCTCTCTTCAAGGTATTACTTAACCTTCCCCTATAGGGGCCACTTGAGCTTGCAAAAGTGGCCCCTTCAGGGGATTATCATAAACTCTATGAGAAGAAACATTTCCATGCGAAAAAGTCGATAAAAATGTTATTTGAATGTAAATCTGAACAAAAAGTTAAAAAAAAACCCTATAGGGACCATTTGAGCTCTAGGGCTTTAGGAGGCATAACCCCTATTGGGAACACTTGAATCCCCCTCTCTGTCGGGAATACTTAAATCCCCCATTTCTTTTTATAACCCCTATAGGGACCACTCTGTCGTTCCTTTTCTAATTTTCTTCTTCTTGGACATTCATAAAACCGATTTTCATGCAGAAATTTTGATTAAAACATTGAAACTTTTAATTTTTTTTTGCAGCTCATTTACAAAGACGTTCGTTTCATATCTCAAAAAGGCATCTCCAAACGTATAAGTTGGAGAATTTGGCGCATATGAGGCCCGTCAAACGATGATAGATGGCGAAAGAAACACGTCCCTCGGGGGGCATCTTTGCCGTTTCAGCCGGTGTCTAAAGCTTAGTACCATCAGGGGTTAATGTTTTTTTTTCAAGCCAGTCGAATTATTTCTCAACTATTTTATTTCTGTCTTCTGAGGTGTAGTTTTAATGAAGTTTGGAGCCTTATCAAGAATTTCCAGCTTTTGGGTGATTATCTTGAAGATTTTGAGCTTCTATGGGCGATTTTTGGTCAAATTTGAGCAAAAAACGCATTTTTTCAAGCGTTTTCAGGTTGTTTTGAACATTTTTTGGTTTCTAAGGTCATTTTTTGGATCCATTTCTTTTTTTGCTCCACCAATTTTTCGCTCTTTTTATTTTATTGAATGAAAAAACTGTTTTTTTTTGAGAAAAATAAAATTCTTTCCAAAGAATAACCGGTCAAAATAAAAATCCAATCCCTTTCAAAACTTGTATCAAACTTCTTCCGCTCTGTCTTCCGAAGGACATAAATTCTCTTCTCCCAAACCATTTCTCCTTTCAACATCGGAATTGCTTTCTTGTTTCCTTTTGCCAATCCAAACTGCGAGGACATAAAAAAGTTCCATTTTTCTGGCGCCGGAGGTCCGAAAAACGACAAGAATAGCGTCCAATCAGTCTGTTGAAAGGGACACAAAATGAATCAGAGCCGCGCGGAAACGTCCAGAAGCACGCAAAGTCATCGACGTTTTCTTGTTTTTCTCCCCAAACGCTGTACTTTTTTCTCGGGGGCTCAATTGGAATAAATTTGAACATGGAACAAGCCATATGAACCCATCGCGAGTGGAAAAAAAGCTGATTAATTGACGAGATTGAGGCCATAAAACCGCCTCTCCGTGTCCCATTTGTTTCATTTTAAGTGGCTCATAAAAAGCGAAGCAAAACAAGCAATAAACCCGAAAAATTCAGGATACGGCTTGGTATCGGAAGAATGTCCAGCAGCAGCGGTCGGCTGTCGAATCCGAGCCAAAAAGGATCACATTGGTGAGTTGCAAAAAAGTCAAGCCCCCTAGGGGACTCGAACCCCTGACCGTTAGATTAAAAGTCTAACGCTCTACCAACTGAGCTAAGGAGGCTCACGCAGGCGAGGAGGCGCGTGCGCCACATGACACGTTCTTGCCCCTGCCTGTAGTGAATGGCAGAGAGGATGGCAATCGAATTTCCGTTGATAGAACGTTCCTTTCATATTTCAGAATGGTACGAATTGTCACGACTCTACGACCGGAATCAGCTGGTTTGCGTGTATCCGGAAGAATACAAATCGCTCACAGGTAAACATTTTGAAAAAATTCGAATTTTGTTGAGAAATTACTTTATTTTAAAGTTGTCTTTTTCAGTTTATTTCTCAAAACCTATTTTTTACAGGATGTATGCGAAAGCCATCCGGAAGTATCCGTTGCTGGTGCGGAGGAAGGGCCGATTGTAATGATCCCGAAATTAGCAAGTAATCTTTGGGTTTTTATTTAAAAATATCAAGTTATGTAGTTTTAGAAATGATAAAGTATACATTATAAACATTTGGATCTGCTAAAATGTTTTCAATCAAATAATAGCTTCCAGATGAAACTTTTCTGCTTTTTGCTTGTTATTTTGAAACTTTTCATGCGGTTTTTTTTAAAATTAGATTGTTTCGAAACTCTCTTTTAACGATTTAAGGGACCTCTACGAAGCCTACACGGAAGGCGACAATGAATCCATCGAAGAATTGAGCGAATGGCTCAAAAATATCGACAATGGGCCGCGTGAGTGATCTCTTTTGCTTCGAATTTAAAATTTCTGATAAAATTAAATAAATTGAAACATTTTTCTTTATTTTTTTCTTTAGGATTTCTTGTAGTTGTTGCATCACGTTGTTATCGTAAAAAGGCTAAAAAAATCTGTTTCCTTTTCAAAAAAAGAAAATAATTTTTTTCTCTTTATGTTTTATTTATTTGAAAAAAATTTACGGTCTAATTAGGTCTAATGTACTCATGGTAAAAAAATAGAAAAAAATAATTGTTTTTCCATTATTTCATACCATTATTCGTTCAACTGAATCTTTTCAAAACCATGGAACTAATTGAGAAAAAATGGTGGCTCGAGTTTCCCGCCAAAAGACGCGTCCCCAACGCTTTCCACTTTTCAATCTATCACGTCATCTTCTTGCAACCTTTATTCCGAAGCTTTTCGAATTATCAGCGTTTTTTGAAACGTATCAAAAGCTAGAAATTCAAATTTTCAGGCAAAAAGTCAAGAACGACCTCAGCGAAGGCAAAAACCTCTACCACGACTACGACCACAACGACAACAACAAGAAGACCAACAACCACGACGGCAAGAAGAACGACGACAACTTCAAGGCCAACGCCGAGAATCACGACGGCCAGGAAATTGACCGTAAAAACGACGAAAACGACTTTGCCCGCCAAAAAAACGACGCCACAGACGCCGGCTGTAGTTCTGGACCAAGAAGAAGAAGAATATGTCGATGATGAAAAGGTAGAAGAAAAAAGATTCAGTTCAATTTTTAATTTGAGTCAATATTTTGATGGAATCTGGAAGAAAGATGGTTCTCAAATTATCAAAAAAGGGAGAAAAATAAAGTTTTGAAAAATAAAACTTTCTCATAAGCATGATGACACCAAGTTGACGCCACACCCTTTGAAGAGGCGGGAAATAGAATGTTTTGTACGCAGTGCACATAATGCACAAGAAGTGACGCGCAAAAAGTGAAATTGAAAGTTTTATACGTCAGTTGGCTTGCGTGGTGTCGCCGTGAGAAGATGGATTTGAGGAGAAAGAGAAAAAAATTTTAAAATATTCCCCTTCCGCATTTGACATGCATTTTTGGGTTAGCAATGAATTAAAAAAAAGGAAACTTTCGAAAAATAAAATTCCAGGCGGTGCCTCTGAAGACGGATAGCCCAAGTACGGTGGTTCTGGACAGCTCTTTCGAAGCGACCCGAAAGTTAGTTTGAAAAGAATTATACAAAAAAAGAAACACCAGCCCGAGAGCTTTTGCGCCCCAATAGAAACTTGCATTTTTGAATATTAAAGATAACTTTATGGAAAGGATATATATGATCTTCTTTCTGAGAATTCAGAGTTTTTTTTTTAGAAAATTGGAGGCGCAGATGAAGGAGGAAGATGAGAGAATCCGAGAGATGCTGGCCGATGAGGAGGACGAGATGTCAGACGAAGATGAAGACGCCGGGCTCCTCACTGCTGAAGATCAGCGACGACGCGAGCGCGAGCAGTACAGAATGGAGAGGTCTGAGAGCCTCGAAAATACTAAAATTTGAAAAAAAAATCAAGCCAAACAGAAAATGAAGCCAGAATGATTCAGAAGACGTGCCGAGGAGCGTCGTGAACGCGAAGATGACATTCTGGAGCGGATCGAGGAGGAGGAGATGAACGAGGCGAAACGCGAACGAGAAGGCCGAGAACGACGGCTTTCCGAGCAAAACTCTTCTCATACAGTAACCTTCTTGGTTACCGTAATATTTTTGATAATTTCGAGATTACTGTAGCTTGCAAAACTCTCTCACTTATATAGTGATTTTTTTTCTGTTAAGGTTCCCATAACTTATCCAACTTGTCTAGAATCAAGTTGAATTCACGAACTTGCACATAGTTCATTCACCACTGGCTAAACGAGAGAATACGCGAAAAGGAGAAATTTAGACGTTTTTTGTGAGCTTAGCCAGCGGTGAATGGAGTATTAGATTGAGATGTCGCAAGACTTCAAGGAATGACTCTCTTCTCACTGCCTCCGACCAAAAACTACTTTCGCATCATGACAACCTTCAGCATAGGGCTCCCCATTCCGAAACTTCGATTTTCAAAAAGCATCACGATCGCGTCGTTTAGAGCCATTCCTTGAAATATCAAGACGTCCTTATTTTTCTCAACCAATTCGACAATTTTCCTCGGAAAGTACCCCTATTGATCTTACCAATCATGTCATCTCAAGAAATATCCATAATTTATTTCAAATGCATTTTTTTTTCTCAAAAACCTGCCATCTCTGAAACCATCCGAATAATTTTTATTCTCTGGGAATTTTTTTTTCTTCCACGCTTACTTAATTTTTCTCTTTCTTAATGCCTCATACTGGTGAACAATTGCTTGTAATTTGTTTCTTTCCAACAAAAAAAAAACGCTTTTATTCGCATAAATGATAAATTTTGACAATTCAAGAAATTTTTTCGTGAGTTTAAGAGGTAGCTTTCAGAAGACTGAAGAGGAGATAAGAATGAAAAAATTATTTTTTTCTCTCAAATCGGTTTTCCTACTTGAAAATTCCCGACTTCTCAGTACTCTCTCCGTCAGACTGTTCCAAAAAGTGGTGATTAAGGTACTGGGAAAACTCTAGTGGTCACTGAAGAGGTTACTCAAGGACTACTCGGAGAGGGCACTGAAGTGGCCACTAAAACCACCACTATAGAAGCCGCTATTCTGTGTCTGATTGGCCACTACAGTAGTTTTTAGTGGTCAGGTAGTACCACTTATACTGCTAAAGAGCACTAGGTTTAGTCACTTGAGTGGGCATTAATTTGACTACTATAGTGGCCATTAAAACGTCAAAGGCCTTGAAGTGCCCACTAAACAGTTTCTTAGTTCGTTTTGACGACTTGAAAGGGTTGGACTTCTCGGCAACCCTCACACGTTAACTTGCTGTTTCAATTTTTTTTTTCTGACCCATCTAATGAGGAAAAAGAGAGTGCAGACAGGTCAGACTTTTCAAAAAAAAGTGGTTATTATCGAAATGTTGAATTTGCTTCACAGATCCGAAGCGAAACTTCTACTGAGGCGTGGATTCGTCCTAGTTAGTGCATTGATTGAATTCTTCGGTACGTACTTTGAAGAAACTCCGAAAAGTTTTTTCGTCCATTCTTGCAGACCCACTCTGAAATAATTATTTGCATTCTTTGAGTTCAAATCCAGACAAACCGATAAGGTCGAATGTAGTAGATGGACATGATTGGAGATAGAGCTGGAGGAACCATCGAGAGCATAAGAACCGAGTTTTCGAGGGGGGAAGAATGAACTTGGAAGAGGCATAAATAGCAGAAATTGAGGTCGGCGATGTACATGAGGAAGGGAAGGGACGCTTGTACCGCCAGGGCCTGGAAATTCATCTTTTATTTTCAAAGAAGATCTGGAGTTGTTCTACAGAGTTTTTCTTTTCCTAGAATCACTACTTAAAGGCATAGGGGCAGAAAAAAATGGGGTTTCAGGTGAAAGCAGTATCTTATATAGTTTTTCATTGCGAATCGAATTGTGTACTCAAAAAAATACAGATGTGACAACTTTAGAAGAAAAACGCGATTTTACTTTCCCGTCTTTATTTTTGAAAAATGCTTTGGATCGATCTACGGACAACTGATTACAGTAGCTGTGCACGCGATGTTGCGGACGTCTCATTAGACTCGCATTTTGTGTGAAATAACCGGCTATCTGCTTCAAATCAAGGGTTTCTACTCTGAAAAAAATATTCAGTCAAACAAAAAACACACACCGATAATAAAGAAAACACAAAATATCGCAATCCAAATCGAAACCTGTGTAAAAGCATCATTTTTCCCCAGAAAAGCATTTTTGCGATTAAAGTTTGCAAATTATACATGAATAGAAAGCTTTTGTGACGGAAAGAACTTTGGTGACAACAGAAAAAATTGAAAATTGAAAGAAACGAAGAAAAAACCAAAAATCCGGAAGTTGGCGAAGCCCGTTGTCCATAGAGCAACTTTATTGCAAAGCGCCCTTTTCGCGGAAACTTAAACTTTCCTCTCTCCGACTTTGAATGATTTTTTCTTTAAAACTAGGAACTTCTGTACGTTTCCAAGTTCACCGTTCGATTCTTAATGAAAAACTTTACAAAGTACTGCTTTCACCTGAAACCCCATTTTTTACTGCCCCTATGCCTTTAAGAACGTCGGCGTGGTCTATAGATAGGGACCACAGACCAATTTTTTGAACTCAAGCTAGCTTCTCGTTTTTGTTATAAAAACAATGATTTTAACATGTTGTATGCGAAAACAGAAAAGAAAAACGAAAAATATTAAGAATAAGAGGAGGGGCGCGCCGTAGGCCACTCTAGAGGGCGAGGACGAAGCAGAGCTCCCTAAAGGAATACAATTTAGGAGCTCTCTTTAGGGGTTTAAGGTCTGACCCCAGCCTCTAAAGCTTAAGTGGTTCCTGCAGGGTGAAAAAAACATTTACATGTATTCATCTTAATTTTCACCTTAATCCCTCTAGGCACCACTCTGGTGTTCCTAAGTACGATTACAGCTGAAAGTCTCGCAAACCTTCATCAGCGCTTTGTGAAATCGCTTTGTCGTAGCACTCAGCGAATTATCAGCACTTTGCAGAATCGAATTAGCTTTTCTCCTGATTATAATCACCGAAAAACAGCCGACTGTCATGACAATGAACAGATAGAAAGAACAGCCTGCGATTTTTGGAAGTAATACGTTTCGGGATTTTCCCTTCCACTCACTTCCTAGAGGTATAGCATAGACGGAGGTTAGGAAGACGTGTGTAACGACGTTCCAATCGATATCGTTCCGTTCTTTTTTCAGAGTTTCGATTAATGTATTGTCCGTTTCCAGGGAGCACATGAAAGTCACCTGAAACTTTTTTTGCCTTTTTTTATCATTTATTTTTTTGTTTCATTCCTACAAACGAGCTTCAAAAATACCGGAATAAATGTAGGAAAATGTTGGGGAAATTTGGAAAATAGCCTTTGCAAAGCTTTCAAAATTTTCAATTTTTTGAATTCTGCCTGATCTTACCCTTAACTTTCTCACCAGGTTTTTTTTTGGTAGGATGGAAGTTTTAAAAATAGCCGAAGTTTGGAAAAATAGGCTTTCGATTTTTGATTTTATATTCTTCGTTTTAGAATCATTTGTAATCAACTTTTTCGATGAATTTTTTGGAAAAAGATAATTTTATAGAATGAGACTTTCTGGATTTCAAAATAAGATCTTTTTTCCAGCCTTCTTTTTTTTCCACTTATTATTAGTCATATAGAAAATTAAATCCATAATCCAAGTTGAAGGAAGAAAGAAGTTTAAAAAAATAAAATAAAATATGGCAAAAGTAAAAAAATATCTAACACGTCAAACTTCGTATCAATTTTAAATGTGTGTTTCCCGCCAAAAATTATCTTCCGACTTCCTCGTGCACCTGCGTTTGAAATTGCTAAAATTGACTAAAATCAACTTTTTTTTTTGAGTCCACTACTTAGTTTTTCCTTTTTGAAGTTTTTTTTTTCATTTTATTTATCAACTTTTTCAAAAAACAGAACTTCGAATAAAAACTCACAAACATGAGAAAAGACGGAAAGTCGCCTAGCAGAATGATGAGCCACACGTTTCGCGAGCTCGGCGAAGAGTGTCTCAACACGAAAAGTCGGTATCCGAAGGAGATTATGGTAAGGGTGACGCAGTGGATCAAGCCGTGAAGCATAATAGTATGGACTGAAATGTTCGACTAGAGATATTTCAAAAGGGGAAAAAAATAACCTAGAAAGCTGAAATTGTTGCCAAAATATTTTACAGGGCCGTGGAAAATGTAAGCCAAATTGTCGCCAATCACTAATACTCTGAAAATTTTTTCGTGATTTTTCAAAAAGCTTTATAAAGGAAAACCTTGACATTACTGCTCCTAAAGCTGCGGAACTTATTAAGTCCGTCATGGCGACGTTGAAGAGGAGGATCCTGAAGCTTTCAAATTGGAACTTAAAAGACAAGGGTCGCATTTTAAATGGCTTTGCGCGTGACAGCTAACTATACGGTTCAATTTCAATTTCAAATTATTCAGACATCAGAAAAATAAAAAAGGCTCTGCTGAATCATGATAGATCTGAAGAGCTCCTTGTTGTTGCGCGCAACGGTCGATCAATTCTCCCCAACAACGCTTCGGAAGTCATCTCGCCAACTTGCTCGTGGTCGTCCAACAGATCTTTTCTTCTCCCAGAGACGCCATCCTACGATCTCGTTCGCCCACGTTTCTTCTCCCGTCACGATTTCTTTGCGAAGAACTATTTTCTTCTTGTTGCAACCATTCGAGCATCACGCATCTTCAACATTTCGTGGAGCCGACTGTTTGGTATTCTATCCATTAGAGTCACACCAAGCATTCTTCTCATCATCATCCACTGCGCTGCCGCTAACATGTTCATCTCTGTTCTCTTGAGGGTCCAGACTTCTGATCCGTATAAGAGCGCAGGTTCTATACAAGCTTGGTATTTTTGTTATTGTTCTTGAGAAATGTTGTTTTCTTCGTCAGATATATAGATAACTTGTGGAAAACTGCCCATGCAGATTGGATTCTGCGGAGTAGCTAGGGACCGCAGACGAATTTTCAAAAAATTTTTTTCAGCATTGAGCTATGTATGGTTTGATAGCTGTTTCGATTCAAAACTCAGAACCGTTTAGTTTTTCAAAAAAGATTGAGGATGAAAAAAGTTATGACAAAAAAATGTGGCGCGCCGCGCACCATTTTTTAGTACTGAAATTTTTGGTATTATCCATTTTTTTGACATTTTTTTCTCGATTTTTTTCTTCTAGAACAAGTTTTTGATACTGGTCTATTATGATGTAACAAATTATAATAGAGTGCTAAAAATGATGCTAATCAGCTATTTTTGCCGGAAAAAGTCGGTATTTTTGCAGAAAACAAAAAAACTGACGCTTGCGGGTATCGAACTCGCGACCTCAAAATGAAAAAAATCGCAGCGCACGCACTGCGCCAAGCTGTCAGGTCTAACGCGGGGAGCTTCCATCCGCCTTAGCCTTGAGCCGTTTAAATAGCACAGATTGCCTATTTCAAAAAGAAAAACTTGAAGTAATTAAGCTATTTTTATCAGAATATGTTCGCAAATCTTTACTCAAACGTTTCGTGGAAAATCATTTCGAAAAAACTGTTTTTTCAGTGCTTTTTGCCTCATTTAACGATCGCTGCATTAAAACGGCCCCGTATATTTTCGGCAAAGACGAATTTTTTATTTTATTCTTTTAATTGAAAGATTTTTTACTAATAAATGTATATAATCGTTTGAAAAACCTGCGTTCGACCGCTTTCTGTGTGATAAACGCCGCTAATTTTTATTCTCTATTTTTCAAGAGCATTTTTTTGCGTATCACACAACTTTTTTTCAAACACAGATGCTGTGGAGAAAAAAATTTAAGTAAGCCCATGGTCTAAATTTTTGAAAAAAACAAAAAAACTCGATTATATTCGCTTATTAACGATATTTTTGAATTATGACTTTCGGCACTCCCTAAAAATTTTTTTGGCAAAGACGAATTTTTTTATTTTTATTGTTTTAAAATTACCGTTACTTGAATCAAAAATCATTATATAAAAAAAGAAAGAGTGCGTTCGACCTGAAAACACATGAAAAAAAGCAAAAAAACGACAAAAAAATTTTTTTAGTTCCATTCACGTTTTTTTGTACGACATTCCGCGAGAACGCATCAAAAAAGCGTGAAATATTTTTTAAACGAAAGAGGAAGCTTTTCTGTACATGTGTGTCAAAGTTTATTATCCAGTTCCACATATTTTGCAACTACAGCAAAATGAAAGTTGAAAACCAAAAAAAAGCCACTTTTTCTATCGCGAAAAGGGGCGTGGCTTTGCGGTCCCTAGGAGTAGCATGCGGTTCAGCCGGCCTAAAATGAGTCGCGCGGGAAGTCATAGGACAGTATGAGAGGAGCTGAAATATATCCATTTCACGTGCAACCACCGTACTTCACTTATTCTCTAAATTCAGGCAAATATTAGAACTTCGAAGAAGAAAACTATTTCGACCGTTAATATTCTTATTCTCTAATTGTAAAGGAAAAGGAAAACATGATAGATTCCTACAGAAATTTCTTTTATTTTTATTTTGAGAAGATGACGGTGAGAAAATTGTACATCATACAACTAAAGATTCGTACCGGGAATGGCTCAACATTCAACGGGTGCAAAGCGGCTTTTCAACGCGTTCGCCCATTTAAATGCGGCTAGAAAAAATGTCCCATTTCCCACGAAGATTCACTTTCTAACTGGTAAGACCTCAAACTGTACATTTCTCTAACTTTCAAAAATTTTCAAATCAATTTCAAATTCCATGTATTTTCTTCACTCGAAGTAGTAGCTCTCTCAATCGGCCGAGGCTACCCTAGAGTGTACACGGTGTCCGTGCCCGAGCCCCACCATCACCGCCGTGTCCGTAAAAGCGAAAATGAGGGATCAACTTGTGAAAGAACGAGGCGAAGGACCGTAAGACCATTCTTTCAATTCAATCGACTACACGTTTTGACTTCTTTTTCGCCAAAGGCGGTGTTAGTGCCGCTCAAAAGAGCAATTTTTTCACCGCCTAGTCGATTTCACCTGACTAAAACAACCAATAAATATTGATTGATTGATTGATTGATATTGAATTTCAAATCATTTTTTTGTTCCAGCTAGTCTCACTGTCCTGCCCTTCGAGCCGTGAAAAAACGTCGTAGGTCTGAGAAACTGTCTCATCGACTTCTGAAAAAACTGACCAATAAGGCTTCAAAGGCCGGGTCGTTCTGAGGAAAATTAATAGGATGAAGACGGCGTTACCGACGACTCCCATTATGGTTACAATGGTGTGCGTATACCAACAAAACTCCTCGAAAGTGTCCATTTTGAACCTGGAAATGAATGATCAAGTGAGGGACTACTTACTTATTTTTTTCACCCACCCCCATATCGACCACTAAAGCTTGCGAAAGTGGTCCCTATAGGGGATATGTTAGTCGTTTGTTATCACGAACTCCATGAGAAGAAGCATTACCATGAGAAAAGCTTAATAAGTGGGGTCAGAAGACCCTAAACCCCTATAGTACTAGCTAATTATTACCCCGATAGGAACACTTTTTGTCCCCTTTAGGTGATCCGCTAACCACCTAAGGTCAGGTGTTCCCAATTGGAAATTTAAAGAATTGAGAAAGTTCGTATAGGCTTCGAATTTTCAGGAAAAAAAATGAGTAGCTCTTGGGAACTATGCAAGCAAGATTGAGGTGAGGAACTTATCAAATGAAAAAAGGAGGATGAGCGTAGTTTTTGTGAGCTCATAGATGAATCGAGTAGCATTTGGAAGATTCGCAAACAAGATTAAAGATTATAAAATAAGTGAATAGAACAGAAGCTTATATGAAAAAAAATCGAATCAAGCTCCAAAAAGGACGACGTCTATGGAGCACGAAGCCCCGTCTTTTCAAATCACCAAATCTTGACCTGTGAGCAGGCTTGTGCGTCAAAACCCGGGCCAGACCAGGCGGCCCGGGTTTTGAGCCTACACTTTTAAAAAAAGCCCGCGTGTGCTCGGGCCAGGCCGGGCTTCGAAAGAAATCTTAAATTTCATTTTGGAAAAATTTCACGGAAAACCTTTTTTTTATTTGTTGAATAATAGTTTCTAATAACTATATGAGAAAAAATAAGCATTCGTGGCTGAAAAATGATTGAAATGAAACAAATTTGAGTTTAGACGTCTTATTGTGAAGTATTTTTAATTTTACACTAACTAGCAACTTTTACTAGTTGCATGAAAACAGAGAACACTTCTTCTTTTTTTATCAACTTGAGACTATTAAAAAGCCCAATAAAAAGACGAAGTAAGATAGCTGAACGTTTTTTTCTCATATATCAAATATGACAACTTTACAACTGAAGACATTATTGATCTTGCCAATACTAGATATGGTGAAAACCTTAAAATTTTGTTTTCGAAAAATTGCAAATTAGAAGAGACTTGGCAAAACAACCATATTGACGGGTATATTGAAACTACAAAATATTTCCTTTTTCGCTAGAAAGAATATTCCAAAAAAACAGCTAAAAAAATAAATATTAGCTTTAATGTAGTATGCCTAGCTTTGAGCTTGCAGTTGACTGAACAATAATATGGTATCTTTTACACAGTTTGAGGCTCAGTTTTTTGCTTTCAAAAAATTTTTAGTTCTCCGCGTTTTTTTACATTTTCGTTTCTAGAATTCAATTCTTAATATCTAGCGAAACCAATCAGAGACAATCTCTCTTTGCAGTGGTTTTGTTGAGGAAAACTTCTATCTTTCCTTTTTTTGACTTTATACAAATCTAAAACAAATAAAATATTAGAATAAAATATACAAACAGCGGTCAGAAGCGGGAGAACTCGTCTCGAGGTTTGTGAGGCTCCTCGAACTTGGGTAATCAAAGCACGATAAGATACAAACAGTTTAATATAGGCGTAACACAACAACATCGGCCAATCTGGCGCTGTAATATAACAAATACCTCTAGGAGCTAGAATAAAATGAGGCTATAAATAAGACAGAGCCGTGGATATTCAGAAAATGAACAAAAATTATAGATTTAGGACCCGTTTAACAGTCTACTGTAGTGCTTCAGAGCGAGTCACACATGAGCTATCACGGTGTTTTTCACGACGTCGCCGGCTTAGATTTCGTCGTTTACGATGTTTACGGTGCACTACACCGTTACGCGAAATGCACAGCGCGCGGACTTGAAAACCTTACTGTTATTCTTAATTTTTAATTTTTTGGTATTGAATTATTTCACATTGGTATTCGTGTTTGCAACGTTCAGTTATTTTGAACGTTGGTTGAAGTTTTCTATGATTCAAAAGAATCTATGGGCTAACTTGTTGTTACCCTATTTTATTTACTTTACTTCAAGGCCTACCCTTTTCCTACTCTCACAAATCGAAAAAATCTAAATTTGAAAAGCATGTCAACAACTGTATCAAAGATTCAAACGATGATAAGAAGCCCGAAAAAAAAAGTATTTTTAAAAAAAATTCGAATAATTTCGTGCGAGTGGGCGTCGGTGTTAATGCGTCAAACCAAGTGTACCTCGCTTTTAAATGCTGCAGGAGCCGTTTTTCGTAAAATTCAATTATTTACTTATTCATTTTGAAAGAGGAGTACCATTCAGTTTTCTTTTTTTCAATGTCAAATGATAATAATTTTTCTAGACTTGAGAAAAATTACTCCTGACCTTATTTTAAGTAGATTTTTTTTATTGTTTCATCAAAATTTTTTATGTACAGGACGTTCCTGAAGCTGAGCACTGATAATCACTCAAAGCAGAAAAATGATCCGAAAACGGTTCAGAATGGCGAAAAATGAATTAAAAAGAAGTGCGGCAGCGGGTAAGCCATGAGATTGAGACTAAAGTAGAGCGCTCTAGGTTTTCGGCCAATTTTTTTTTTCTTAGTGGACCTTTTCCAAAAAACTAAACGGACCATGAAAACCGACGTCTCCTCCATCGAGTAGTATGAGAAAAATTTTTTTTGCATTGTTTTGAAAAAATGGCTTGTGTTCCCTAACGATGTCATATCCGGCATTCAGAACAAAAGACAAATTAATTTCCATTTGAAATATTCGAAAAACAAGGCTTTCGGCCCCGCCTTGGCTTTTTCTCACATCTTCGAAAAAATATAACGGCAAGATTGTTGTTTTGATCAGTGGTGCAACGCTGACAAATTCATCGGTTCATTAAATTTTAGAAAAAAAGTATAGTTTAGTTTCTTAACTAAAAGAGCAAGGAAACAGATAGGGATTGCAGAGTGGTAACTAGAGAGTAGGTAGAAAGGCCCCTTTAATGGACAAATAGTGTTCCCTATAGGGCTAACATTTTGGTGGTCCCTACAGAAGTGTAAGATCTGATCCGGAAGCTTGAGTGGTCCCTATAGTGGTCTTTCTTTTTTGTTTCTTTTTTGTAAGTTAAAAGTACGTATAGGGAACGTTAGCTTTCTCCAAACTCCTTGTAATTTCACTCGTTTTTTTTTCTCTCGAAATACCCCAATCGATCTTATTAACTTAGTTATCTCAAGAAATAACCTAATTCAAAATCCTTATTTTTTTTTTCAAAAACCTGCCATCTCTGAAACCATCCGAATAATTTTGTTTTCTCTGGGGATTCTTTTTTCTTCCACGCTTACTTAATTTGTCTTTTTTAACGCCTAATACTGGAGAACGATTGCTTGTAATTTGTTTCTTCCCAAACAAAAACGCCTTTATTCGAATAAATGATAAATAATGATAAAAATAAACGAAATATGTTCAATTTGAAAAAAAGTGCAGAGGTAGTTTTCAGAAGACTGAATAAGAGAGTGCAAAAGGGAAAATGATTGAATAAACTTTTTTCTTCTTTATTTATCTGAAGTTTCGAAAATTTTCTCTTTTCAAAAAAGTCCGCCTTCTCTGCACTCTCACTCTTTAGAAACGGTTTTTTTGACTCCATGACCTCGCTGACGAGAGAAAAAAGAGCGCCGACACGGGAGACTGTTCAAGCGATGATCAATGTACTGGGAAAAACTCAAGTGGCTACTGAAAAGATTCCTTAAAGGACTACTGGGAGAGAACACCAAAGTAGCCACTAACACCATCACAACAGAAGCCGCTATTTTGCTTCTGAGTAGCCACTACAGTAGTTTTAAGTAATATAGTAGTACCATTAAACTGCTGAAGAGACCACTGAAATTTCGTCACGTCAGGGACCATTAGTTCGACTACTATAGTGGTCACTAAAACGCCAAACTAAAACTTTCCCCAGTAATAGTTTTTTTTTTTGGTGGCTCAGAAGGGCGGGATTTCTCTGCACCCTCCTCGTCTCGAAGACTCTCATGTTGAAGTGCTATTTTCGTTTTCCTCTGACCCCGCTGAAGAGGGAAAAGAGAGTGCAGACAAGTCAGACTTATCAAAAAAAAAATTGGGATTATGGTATATTATCAAAATGTTGAATTTTCTTCACATTTCCGAAGCGAAACTTCTACTGATGCCTGGATTCACGGTGCTTAGTGCATTAATTGAGTAAATCGGCTTCCGTCCGAACTTCGAAGAAACTCCGAAAAGTTTCTTCGCCCATTCTTGCAGCCCCACTCTGAAGTGATTATTTGACTTCTTTAGATTCAAACTCTGACAAACCGATAAGGTCGAACGTAGTAGATGGACATGACCGGAGATAGAGCTGGAGGAACCATCGAGAGCATGAGAACTGAGTTTTCGATGGGAGAAGAATGAACTTGGAAGAGGCATAAGTAGGAAAAGTTGAGGTCGGCGATGTACATGAGGAAGGGAAGGGACGCTTGTACTGCAAGAGCCTGGAAATTTAAAAAATTACTATTTCGAAAGAAGAAAATAGATAAATTCCGAAAAAATCTAATCATTATTATTTTTGAAGTTAAATCTTCATAGAGCCAGAATAAGTACTTGAAAAAAAAAATCAGAAGCTGTTAAATAAAAACTTCAATTTTCGCGCAATCGTTACTGTAGCTTGACGAACATCTGCAAACACATTGGCAGTATAACTTTTCTCCAGAGATCTCCCTAAAGTGGTCTTTTTCCAAGAAACCGCGCCGCACTTGCAAAGTAGGCACTGGAGCATAGAAATCTTCATCGATTTCATTTTACTTCTTTTTCTAACTTTCAAATCTTTTTTCAAGTTCTAGATCATCTCCTTTGGAACGCAGAAGTGGTCCCTAGAGAAGCGACTTCAAAAAAATTATGAGTGGACTTTTGGGGATCACAAAAAAAGAAATTTTTCTGCAAATCTTGAAAAAAATTTATTATTTTTTTCAAAGTAGATTTTTCCTCGTTTCGTTATTTGTGTAATCGTCGTTATTATAAAATAACCAATGCCAAAACTCTCGCCGGGAAAAAGTTGTTTATTCAAATTTATAGGTGGACATTATGTAAAGAGCGCTATTTTGTACCCATAAGGGCAGTTTTTCCCTCTGAACTCCTCTAGGGACCACTCCAAAGTTCCTGAGTACGAATAATACCGTAAGTCTCACAAACCTTCATCAGAGTTTTGTGAACTCGTTTCGTAGTTGCACTCAGCGAATTATCGGCACTTTGCAGGATCGAATTCGCTTTTCTCCTGATTAAAATCACCGAAAAACAGCCGGCTGTTGTTACGATGAACAGATAGAAAGAACAGCCTGGAATTTTTCGGAAATTGTAAGTTTCCGAATTTTTTTCTGCTCACTTCCAAGAGGTATTGCATAGACGGAGGTTAGGAAAACGTGTGAAACGACGTTCCAATCGATATCGCTTCGTTGTTTTTTCAGAGTTTCGATTACTCTAGTGTCGGTTTCCAGGGAGCACATGAAAGTCACCTGAAACTTTTTTTTTGACTTTTTCTTAATTTTTTCAAAATGTTTCATTCTCACGGAGTAGCACTAAATGAACGGAATGAATGTAGGGAAGTTCAGTAAATGCGTGAGGAAAACCTCGAAAAAAAAAGAAATATCTTGGCTTAAAACCTCGAAATTCGAAGTTTAAATTAACTTTCCCACTAAAAAAATGTCACCGGTTGCTTCCTGTTTCTGGGTTTTGAAATGGTCTTGAAAAATCAACTCTTTTTGAGTCCGATACTCCATTTTTCTCCTTTTCAGTTCTCTTTTTCAAGGCTTCAAACAAACTCACAAACATGAGAAAAGATGGAAAATAGCCCAACAAAATTATCAGCCACAGGTTTCGCGAGCTCGGCGAAGAGTGTCTCAACACGAAAAGTCGGTATCCGAAGGAAATTATGGTAAGGGTGATGCAGTGGATCAGGCCGTGGAGCATGATCGAGTGGGCTGAAATTTTTAGCTAGGAAACCTTCAAAACGATGAAAAATGAACCTAGAAAGCACAATTTGGTGCCGAAATATTTTCCAGGTCCGTGGAAGATGTACGCCAAATTGTCGCCAATCACTAGTAATCTGAAATTTTCCCACAACTTTTGAATCGGTTCTGAAGAAAGTAAAACCTCGACATCACAACCCCTAAAGCTGCAGAGCTCACAAAGTCCGTCAGAGCGACGTTGAAGAGAAGGATCCTGAAAACTTTCAAATTTGAACTTAAAAGTCCATGATCGCATTTGGAATGGCTTTGCGCGTAGACGTTCGGTTCAGCCGACCCAAAACTACTTGCGCTGGACGTCATATGACTCATAGGAGAGAAAAAAAATAGCAGCTATTGCAGTGGAGCCATTTCAGGTGTAAACCACCGTAGTTCGCTAATTTTTTTTGAGAATGGCTAATCACTTAATGGCTGCAAGGCGGCGTTTTGAGTATCGCCCGACCCAAAACGACTTGCGCTCTTTGACAGAAACAACGGCTTTTTTTTTATTCGTCTCAACCTTGTGAGCCATTCCAAGTGTGGCTGGAAAAGCAAACCACGAGCGATGACTTACTTTCTAAAACTACAAGCTGTACATTTCTCTAATTTTCGAACATTTTCCAGTTAGCTTAAAATCTGTTCTTTGTTTCAGCCAATTTCACTTCCTTGTTCTTCGATTCTTCGTAGGGGTGGGAAACTGACTCATCGACTTCGGAAACTGACCAATAAGGTTTCAAAGGCCGGGTCGTTCTGAAGAAAATTAATAGGATGAAGACGCCGTTGCAGAAGATTCCCACTATGGCTGCGAGGGCGTGCGAATACCAGGAAATTTCCTCGAAAGTGTCCATTTTTTATCTGGAAATGAATGGAATCTTAGGAACTACTCAGGAATTTCAGAGTGGTTACTTTAGGGGTAACGTTAGGGTCCATAACTTTATTAACCTCTATGTAGACCACTAAAGCTTGCAAAAATCGTTTTATGAGTGATATGCTAGCCGTTTACGTTCATGAACTCTATGGGAAGAAGCATCCATCCATGCGAAATGCTTGGGTGGGATCCTCAACCACTATAAGGATTGTTTTTTTTGTCTCCTAGGGGGAAGGCTGTTTTGTCCTCTAGCCCCTAAAGGGACCACTTTTGCGTCCCTCAGTTTAAAAAAAAATAGAGAATGATCGAAGTTTCAGAAAAAAAAAATATTAGCTTTTGGAAACTGTGCAATCAAGATTTAAGTAAGGAACCCATCAGATTTGAAAATAGAGGAGGATGAGCATAGTTTCTGCATTTTTGTGAGTTCATAGATGAAACGAGTATCATTTGGAAGATTCGCAAACAAGATTAAAAAACTAGGAAATGAGTGAATAGAACCGAAAGGACACAGACGCTTACGAGATGAAATAATCTGAATATCAAGCTCCAAAAAGTACGATGTCATATCCGGCATTCAGAACAACAGACGAACTTATTTCCATTTGAAATATTCGAAAAACAAGGTTTTCGGCCCCGCCTTGGCTTTTTTCTCACATCTTCAAAAAAATATTACGGAAAGATTGTTGTTTTGATCAGTGGTCCAACGCTGACAAATTCATCGGTTCATTAAATTTTGGAAAAAAAAGGTGTAGTTTAGTACCTTTTCTATAAGCTTAAGAGCACTTAAGCGCAACAGAGTGGTCATTAAAGGGGCTAAGGAAAAAAGCCCTGTAGTGGAAAAATAGTGTTCACTGGTGGCCGTTATAGGGATTCAGGGTCTGACCCATAAGCCCCTTTACAGCTAGAGTGGTCCCTACAGTGGTCTCCTACAAGAGCCTTTGAAGTTGCCTCTCTAGGTACCACTCTGGCGTTTCTAAGCGCGTACCCGACCATAAAAAGACTTGCGCGTTTCTATAAAAACAGAGAAGATAATTTTTTTACTTTTTCAAGTTTTTCCAAGCATGATTGTTCAATTAGAGTGAAACGAAATATCAGAGATCAGAGAAGTTTTGATTTCATGCACTTTTTCTTTGAATTTGAATTTTCCAAAAGTGGCTTTTGCCTTTTTTGTTTCATTTTTGCTGAGAAAAATTAAGCGTTGTTTCATCTTGAAAGTTATTTATAGTCAAATATCAGTCTTATAGAAATTTCCAATGTGTTTAGTTTGAAAAGAACGGAAAAACCAGAGGGCTTGCTTGGAAAAGCAAATTATTAGCATAATTGCTGATGATGGAAACCAAAATTAGGGTCTAAAATGCTTCATAAGAAAGTTAATCAAGCTAAGTTATTGGTCATTGGGGACTACCAAAAAAGAAACCAAAACTGAGACTATTGGAAGACCGAAAACCTCAAAAAACTAGAAACTAATGAGAGCAAAATCCCACGGCCAGGGTTAGAATTACTCAAGAAAAGACGTCAGAAGTGACCCTAACATTTTTTAAAAACATCCTTCGCAAAATTCGAGACCGATTTCAGAGCAGAGACGTCACCAAATTATATTCTACAAGTACTCTACAATGCGGCGCCAAAGATCGCCACAACTCTTTCTCAGATCTACAGTATTTCTCGCAGCTAGATAACGACGAAATAGTGTGTGTCAGAGAGAGTTGTGGCGATCTTTTTGCGCCCCATGTCAAAATACATAAAGGTTTTCAAGGTCTTATTTAGATTTTGAATGAGCCTTTTTTGTTTCAGAAAGTTTATAAAGCTGCTGTGAAACAGAGAAGAAGGGATATTATATAAAAATAGAAGGAAAATGGAGCTGTCACGAGAAAAGTGGGAATTAGTCGAATTAAAAAAACGATTTTTAAATCACGAGACATGATAATCAAAAACTTTTTTAATTATTAAAAGCTATAAAAAAAGAGACGTCTGCTAGAAAAAGTGGAGCGATGAAATTAAAAATACTATGACTAATTAATGTGGGAATATCTTCAGAGAGAATTTTATATCAATAATAAAGCTGTTGTAGTTAAATTTTTCCCGTATTGGGAAGAAGTGTTAGTAGACTGGCTAGGGTGACAGCCTGGCGAGTAACCTAAAGAATTACTTCCGGATAGAAAAACGTCAGATTAGTACGTTTTGAAAAGAATGGTCAAGGTAAAAAGGAAAAGAAGTGAGAATAAATCTATTGAGTTGGTATGAAAGCTCGAAGGATTTACTGCCATTTATGGGAACAAAGAGAATGTTCACAAAAGGTTCTTCCTCTTCTTTTATGTAACTTTTCCTTTTTTTCGAACTTTGATACGGAAACGAAATTCTATGCTAGGTGCTCCTATGCCATTTCTATGCCAAAAAACAAGTTATCAACCTAAAAATAAATTTTCGAAAGATTAATGTGAACTCAACCATGAGAGTACAGCTTTGCAACGTGTTTAGTTCAGACTAAAACTAATTTTTGAGCTTTTGTTCACTTTGAGAGCGCGCCCGACCACGAAACGACTTGCATCTGTTCGTATTGGGGTCTTCAAAACCTAAGCATGGATAAGTTCTTTATTATTACATCAATCAAAAATTCATAATTAATAACCGAAATTTATTTTATATAGGTGTTGAACTCCAAGTTTCAGAAGTCCCGATAACCACGCTGGAGCTTGATTTCGTGGCAGCAACGATATTTTCAACCCTCCTTCGACCGAAATTCCTCAAACTTCCGATCCAGTCTCTCAACCCTAGTCTGAAAAACTTTGCTATTGCAGCACTTTTTTGAGTTGACAAACCGATAGGGCTGAACGTAGTATATGGACATTATTGGGGAGAGTACTGGAGGAAGCATTGAGAACTGGAAAACCAAGTTCTCCACTAGAGACGAATGGACTTGGAGGATGTACAGGTAGAGGAAGGCGACTTCTGCGATGTACATCAGAAGCGGAAGCGAGGCTTGAATGGCTAGAGCCTGAAAAAGATTAACAAGAAGCTACTAAATTCATCACTAGAAGGAAATTTTCTAAATATCATGCCAAAATAACACCTTTTTCAGAGAATATCTACTTTGAGCGCGGGTGGTAGACTCTACTATCACTAGCAATGCTTAATAAAGTCCGTCGTTTGTATAACCGAGGTCGGAGTGAGTACTTGAGTAAATAAATTTTCAAAAAACGAACCTTCATCAGAGTTTTGTGAATCCTTTTGGTCGTTGCGCTCATAGAATCATCGGCTCTCTTCAGAATCGAATGCGCTTTCCGTCTCATGAAAATGACTGAGAAGACGCCAATGGTTGTGATGATGAAGGAATAAGTGGTACATACTGAAATAAATATCGGAAATTATAGACAGTCCGTCCGGAAAGGTAGTTTTCCATGCTGACGTTTTAGTGGCTAGCTCTCTTAGAACTCAATTCTAATACTCGGGTTCGACTCTCGTTGCCGAGAATCGGAACTTATCAAAAGACAGCTGAGGGGACTTCTTTTTCGACAAAACGAAGTTTTAGAGTGTCTGCGTCTTCCTGTCTGGCGAGGTCAGAGAACCGGGAAAATAACATGCCAAAAAGAGAAAGTAACTTCTTTTTTATTGTTCAAATCTGTGCTCTCTTTTCTCTGACCGATAGCTTGAAAATAGCAGGAGAGCGCAGAAAAATCAAACTGTTTCAAACTGTGATGATGGAGTTTATGAGACTTCGAGAACTTTCTAGATTCCTCTTCCCGAATTTCTTGAATTTTGAAGGGCGGGATTTCTTTGCGGCCTCCTCGTCTCTCGACGACTATCTCATGTTTTCATGTTTCTTATCCCGCCGGTGAGAGATCAGAGAGACGCAGACACGCGAAAATTTTTATGTGTCGACAAACAGACTATATTAATTTCACAAGAATAGATCTCAAAAACACGTCTACAAGAAGTTTTCGAAACTCTCCAATTTCTTTCTAAGACCTTTTCGGGCTTTTTAGATAACGAGTTTGATGGTTTAAAACTTTTCTTTTTTCTCACTTCCTTGAGCTGTCGTAATGGAGGACTTTACGAAGACGTGTGATACACTTGCCCAATCGATGTCGTTTCTCTGTTTTGCCATATTTTCGATTACAGCCGGATCTGTTTCCAGTGTGTAGGTGACAATTACCTGAAGATTTTCACACCTTTAATCGGATAAAAAAGGAAAAACGGACAAGCATCAGAAAAGTGGGAAAGTAGCAAAGGGCTATGATAATCCAAAGGGTTCGAGAGCTCGGCGATGGATGTTTCAGCACAAAAAGTCGGTATCCAAAGGAGATTATGGTAAGGGTAATGCAGTGGATTATACCATGAAGCATGATGCAATGGGCTGAAAATGGAAACTTTCAAAAGAAGTCACTTTTTAAAAATTTACTTATGAAGCAAGTTTTGGGGCCAATGTATTTAAAAGGGCCGTGAAAAATGTAGGCTAGGCTATCTCCAATAACCACCATCCTGAATAAATTCTAATTTTTATAAAAATAAAGTGAAATAATAACCGTGTCATTATGAGTCCCAGTGATGTGCAAAGGACCAGGTCCGTGACGGCGACGTTGAAAAGGAGAATCCTTCAAAAATAATTTTCCATTTGAATACACTTTTTGGCACGTTTTTTAAGTAATATGTATTCCCGCAAGCTTTTCTTTTTTGATACTTCCAAAAAAAAAACCCCCCAAATAGAATATTAATTAGACCTCATTACTGAGTTCGTATTTCTTAGACCTTTCTTTGACAACTTTTCCCTCCCAAAGCTGTATCCTTTTCCTTTTTCTGAGAACAAGGGTAATTAGTTGAGACCTGATCCTTGACCAAAATTTTAAGCGTGAGAGAATTTCTCAGACCTTTTACACTTGCGTTATGTTTTAGTGGATCAACGAACCAATAAGGTTTCAAAAGACGCGTCGTTTTTGTTGCAATCAACGCGATGAAGATGCAGTTGAAGGCGAGTCCTAGAATACCGGCGACTGCATGGAAAATGAACGCGATCACATCAAAGAGATCCATTTTTCAAGTCTGAAATTTACCGTTTCATAATGTTTTGGGGACAAATTAGGTAATTTCCGAAATTTTCCGTGACGAGGACTTTCTCAAGATTTAAAAGCATGAAAGTTTTTACAACTGGGAAAAGTTATTTGAAGTCTTCTAGGTATAGTGGGTAGCGCGTTTAGAACTTGTTTTTGAGACACAGGTACGGTTCCTGTTAAGAAAAAAATTTGAAACTTGTCTTGTAAAATAGGTCATTTTTTATAATTAAATCAACAAACTAAGCCGTTTGACCTCTCTGCATCTTCTGTTCCCTCAGTAGAAAAGCAAGAAAATGAAAAAAAAAACCAACACAAGTAAAAAAGAGAGCGCAGAGATGTTTGACTAGTTCAAGTATTGCAAGATGTTTGAAATTTCAATAGTTTTTCTAATAGACATTTTTCAAGGAACGAAGTAAAATTGAAGGCTTGACTGAACTCTAATTACAGCCCACAAAATGTCCAGAAAATGAAATAAAAACCTCAGAAAAGTAAATTTACTCTTATATGAACGAAAGTCTTGTAGTTTCCTTTCCCAGGCCAGTTTCTCGGACACGCCTCGAGTTCCCACCTTTGAAATTGGATAAAGTACATTCCATAGTTCTTTTCTGTAGTCCAACCAATGATTCATTCTTTCCTTTAAACTTCAGAATTACAATGTATTATATCAAAGCTCAAAACACAAATTCGCACGTTTATGAGGTGCAATAATGCCTTCAAATAATCATTCGACCATATTCAAGTTGGACCAAAAATGGAAGGAGACGTTTAAATTTTATTCTTTTCTGCGCCATTTTGCGAATATTCTCTCACTTTCCCTAGCCAGTAATTCAACTAGGTTTGCCCAATTTTGAGATTTCTTCACTAATTTGGGTTGAACGGCTTTTTCCATGTACTGATTATTTTAGTTTCCCAACGAATAGTCATATTATAGTCAATGTTTCCCGACTTGAAAGGCGAGAAAGGCGGGGCAAGGGGCGGGACGCGTAGCGTGTGCGTTCGCGGTCCTTGCCACGTGTTCAGTTCAACCGCCACCTACTCTTTGAAAAGCCCGTTTTACGCTTTTTTCATTCTTTTTTCAATTATTTATTGATTATGTTCATGTGTGCATCAAAAAATAATAGAAAATAAAGAAAAAGAGCGGTTGCCGAGCTTTTTAAATAGTCGGCGACAATTTAATTGAACTCGTGCCAAGAACCGCGAACGCACACGCTACGCGTCCCGCCCCTTGTCCCGCCTCCTTCGCCTTTCAAGTCGGGAAACATTGACTATATCAAAGTTACAAAACAGTAGTGTACTGGAAATATTAGAAAGAAATTATTTTTTTGTTGAGATTAGCAACAACGTGTTTATTCTGCAAACAGAAGAAATATCAATGATAAATTGCTTGAAGTTGATGATACAGTAATAACCGTCTAAAAAAATCCGATCTTCAGAAACCGAAAAAAATATTTAGATTTTTAGTGAAACTATAATTATTCGTACCATTACCCTCATAAAATTTTTTTAGAATTTCCTTAGATTTTTTTCACGTTTTTTTGAAATGATTAAGAGACCATTTTCCCAGTTTTCAAGGATACAATGAGGATGATAACGATTCTTCGCAGATCTTCTAAAAGAAATTTTCTGTTTCTCTTTTTTTCTTTTAACAGTGTTAGGTTTTCAGTTTCTCCAGCACCTTTTAAGGGCCAAACCTCGCAATACATTTCGTTGGTAATTTTCTTCCCAAGTCCACCATGTCTCGCTCTTCTCCAACGGAACATCTTTAGGTTCTCAGAACTTAAGAACGTGAGAAAACTTCTACATCGCCTTTAGAAGAAGTTTCTCTACCTGGTTCGTGGAAAGGCTACATCACAAGAGTTTTCTGAGAAGAAAAGAAGTTTTTTTTGTCTCATAGGCTCATAGTGCGTGTACTTTCCTCACAGATAGTGGCAAAAAAAAATAGGATTTATCAAAGCGTCGGAAAATGCGTTTCTGATTTCTGAACGGCTGAACGCCACACTACCGCCCCGCGGTTGACAGCTTTTTTGCTTATTCAAAAAAAAATTTATTTTTTAATGTTCATTAGTTTTTTTTATCACAAGGAGATCCAAAACTCAAAAAAACACCATTCTTCGTTTACATCCACATTTAAATCGTAGCTGAATCCCAAGCATCAGAAGTAGCAATACTGAATTTTGGAGTTGAAGTAGTTACGGTAATGACGCCTTTCGATTTATTGGGCCTCAAAGATAAATCAATACACCGTTTCATCCACTCTTGCAGTCCAACTCTGAAAAAAAACTTCAATTGTTCATTAATCGTTATTTTTGGCTTCTTGAAACGACTTCTCTGCGCCATCCCGCCCTTTTGACGTGCTATTTTCATATTTCTCTGACCTCGCCGGTGAAGAAACAGAGAGAGGCAGACACAACTGACAAGTCACATTAAAAACCAACCGATAGGGATGAACATAGTAGATGGACAAGATTGGAGAGAAGGCCGGTGGGCACATTGAAAGTAAGAAAATTGAGTTTTCCACAACTGAATAGTGAAGGTGGAAAGTTTCCATGGAAGAGAAGACCATGTAGGAGATGAACATCAAAAATGGAAGGGAGGCTTGCATTGCCAAGGCCTGAACAAAGTTATAATAGCAAAAGAATAATATCATTCAAACCTTCATCAAGGTTTTGTGAACCCGTTTCGTAGTTGGGCTCAACGAACTATCGGCATTTTTCAGGATCAAATGCGCTTTCCGTCTCATTATTATCACCGAAACGACGCCGATTGTGGTCATGAAGAACATATAGATTGAACAGCCTGAGGTTCGGTAAATGGAGTAATTTTGAGTTTTCCGTACCTCCGTTAGCGATTTGATTAACCGACGCGAAGAACACGAATGAAGTCCGGCTCCAATCGATTTCCTCTCTTTTTTGCTTCAGAGATTCGATCAGAACTGTATCTGGCTCAAGTGTAAATTGAAGAGTGCACTGAAAAAGTCATTGATTTTACATGTTTCTTTATTTTTTCTCCTCCTACGAGATTCTAAACTTGATTCGAAAAATCATTCGAAGGTTCGTAGCTTCAGTAAAGCTTTAAAAAAACTGACAAACTCGACAAAAGAAGGCAAGTAGCCAAGTGCCACAATCAGGCAAAGCATCCTTTTTCTCGGCGAAGGGTATTTCAACACGAAAAGTCGATACCCAAATGAAATTATGGTCAGCATAATACAGTGAATGTTGCCGTGGAGCATGATCGTATGCCCTCAAAAAAAAGTGTGAAACAGTCGGAAGTTAGGCAGAAGCTACCGAGCAAGCAGAATTTCGGTCCGAAATACTTGCAAGGACCGTGAAAAATTGCCGCTGTGTTTTCGGCAATCATTAGTAGTCTGAAGTTGATTTAACTTTCCAGGAAAGTTTTCAAAAAAACCGTGACATGGCCAGCCCCATTGCTAGGGTGCAAATCAGATCCGTCACCGCGACATTCAGGAGAATTATCCTGGACAAAGAACTTCATGAAAATCATTTTAAATTAGACTTTTTGAAAAAAACCTTTAAGTTGTAACACGTTTAAAGCTCTTCATTAGATACCTTGCTTAGTTATGCTACGAGAAGAACGAGTTCTTCTTTTCCAAACCATACTGTATGTGAAAGTCCGCATTTTTCGTGGGCCCTTTACGTGTTTGCACATTTTGATTTTTTCAATTTTTCAAATTTTCAAGTTTTTGCTCTACAAAAAATGATAAATGCACAAATGCGGACTTTAACATACCGTACTCTGTAAATAAGGAAAACTCGCTCTTTTCCTACCTACTCTTTGAAGATTCAATAAAATAATGACAAACCAATAGGGTTTCAGTACTTGCGTCGTTTTAGTGAAAATCAAAATAATGAAGATGGAGTTGAAGATGATTCCGATGAATGCTGCGATAGTGTGTAAAAACCACGAAATCTCGTCAAAAAGGTCCATATAAAGCCTGTGAGGAAGATATTCTGGGACATAAAACTTTATCTCAGCTACAGTACAAACTTCCTAGAAGGCACAGGAATTTTTCTATAACTTTATTCGATTAACAAACAGACTTTTTCAGACCAATCCTTGTCTAGTAAATGTATGAAAAACTCGAAAAGAATGGGGAACACATTTCTGATAAAGTAAGAAAAAAGAAAGTACACTAGATCCATTTCTCAGACCCGCCTAAGAATTCCCACATTCTCCAAGAGAATGACCTAACGATTACTTAACAACGTTTATCCTCATTTTTCTTTCGTAGCAATTTTCAGCTTAGTGGTGATTGAAATATGATTTTCAGAATCTTTCTGTGGCGGCGGCTTAAAAAAAGCGAGTAAAAGGTTCAGAGAAAGGAAATAATTAAAAAAATGGCTGCATGAAAGTATTAATTAAACTCAATTTTTTTGAATCAGTCAAAACAAACTGCATCATCATAAATGGTCCGCATTATATTGAAAAATTATAGGGGTATTTCTAATTTGGATCTTTTTAATTTTTCGGGAACTATTGAGATAAAATAATAGAAAGAAGTTTATTTTTTTGGAAGACTGTAGCTGAAGCCTGGAAGCGGTGGAAATTCCTGAGAACTGTCATATGTACTAGTACGATGACGATAAAAAAATGCTGATAATAGAGATTGGACATTAGTCGTTAAGTTTATATTTTAATCTGATTCTCATTTTTCAAGAGGAAAGACCCAAACTGTAGTCAGGTCATACTACGGTCCATAGGGTCGATCATTGCCCCAACCAAGAAGTTCAAGAAGGTTTGGTAGTGGGAAACCAATACCTAGACTTCACACAAGACGGATATGTCGCCGGAGCCAGTTCACTGTGTATCCTTCACTGATATCCGCAGTCCGGATTCAGGACCTTGCCTTATTGACTTGAGGCGCCGTGGCTGCGCAAGCGGTACAAAGGCGTGAAAATAGGGGCAAGAAGACGTAAGATCGCAATTGTGACGAACTTCCCAGACCTTGTGAGAAAGCTTCCTATTTCCTTCAGAACAAGTTTGAGCTCTTTATTCACATTTTTATCTTGCTAATCAAAATTAATATTAAAAACTATTGATTTATTCAATGCCAATGGTCAGTAGTCCCCAAACTCCAGCTATGATTCGGCCTGGTTACTGTGACATGTGAGACGATTCTCGGCGCATCCTTTCGCCTCGACTTTCTTGAAAATCCCAATCTCTTTGCCCAATCACGTAATCCATTTCTGAAAAAAACTCTTTTCAAAAAAAGTAACAATTTTAAATATAAAAAAACCGATACGGATTAACGTAGTAGATTGACATAACTGGAGACAACGCCGGTGGGAACATTGAGAGCAGGAAAATCGAGTTTTCTATCAGCGATGAATGAATTTGGAAAAGACACATTATTGTGAAAACGATATCAGCAAAATAGATGAGAAATGGGAGGGATGCTTGCATTGCCAAGGCCTGCAAAATTTCAAAATGCAAACATTATTTTGAAATTGAGTTACCTTCATCAGTGTCTTGTGCACTTTTTTCGTGGTCGTACTCAATTCGGCCTTTTGCAAGATCAAATGTGCTTTCCGTCTCAAGAAAATCACCGAAAAGCCGCCGACAGTTGTCATGATGAACGAATAAAGGCAACAGCCTGAAATGTTGAAAGCTAATTTCTCACTCCTTTTTTTTCTCTCACCTCCATGGTTTGGTGTGGAGACAGAAATTAGGAAAGCGTGGGAGACTTTAGCCCATGGAATGTCGTCTTTTTGTTTCATCAGAGATTCGACAACATTCGGATCAGTTTCAACGGTAGTGAAGAGGGTCCACTGGAATTTTGGGGTTAGCCTGATTTTCAAAGAACTACTGGATAAGTTGTATAAACTTTTTTTCAATTTTTTTAATCACCTCCGACATGATATTACTTGCGCAACACGATATGCTTGATCCCCGAGACATCGAAGCAAAAGAGAAAAAAAAAATTTTTCATTCCTCTAAAGTCGGCTCCAAATGTTTCCTTTTACAATTGTTTCGAGATTAATATGGACCAGAACGGTTTTGCCTTTGTCTTTGTTTGAGAAAGGACATATTAAAATTTTAAATCAACTGAGTCTTGCTTTTTCATGGACAGAAATTCGGAAATAAGCTTGTTCCATGTAGAAGTTATCCGATCAAATATCAACCCGTAAAACTTACAAACATGACGAAAGAAGGAAGATATGCAAGAACAACGATGAGCCAGAGAGTTCGCGAGCTCGGAGATGGATGTCCTAACACGCAAAGTCGAAATCCGAACGAGATTATGGTAAGGGCGACGCAGTGGACCAATGTGTGTAGCATGATCGCGTGGCCTGAAAACACAGAATGTAGTTACTGAACTTCTCGAAAAATTTTACCTAGAAAGCAAGTTTCCGGCCCAAAATACTTGCAAGGACCATGGAAAATGTACGCCAAGTTGTCGCCAATCACCACCATTCTGAAAATTGCGTCTTTCTTGTTGGAGTGCGAAACTTTTTTTTAAATCTTGCTTTGGGGTACATACTTTTTTTCAAATGAAAAGATCTCGTTGATTATATCGAAACTCCAAAAATAAAAAAAATTCTTTCACTTACCGTGTCATGGCAAACCCCAGAGATGCAGAGCTAATCAGGTCTGTCAGGGCGACGTTAAATAGGATAATCCTGAAAATTTAACATTTGAGACTTAGTTTGGCTGAACTTGAAAGAACAGAGTCGCATTCGGAATGGATTTACTCTTGACGACTGAGGTGCGGTGCAGCCGACTCAAAACTACTTGCGCTTGATGACATAGGTAAGTATTGTAGAATATTACTACGCTCACCGCAATGCGAACAGAATCATTCCAACAAGGATCTTTTCTCTTTTAAAGCTTGAAACTACATCGGAAATGATAGCTTGTTTTCAGTATCCATATTTTGAGTCATAAAATGTTTCTTGCCACTTTGAGATTCTTTCTCGAGTCCACAAGCGTGAGTGATTCAATTACTATTCAAAATATTTGACACTTCGGAAAAATTAGCTTCGCCAAGATATTAACCAACCAATAAGGCTTCAAAAGTCGTGTTGTTCTTGTGCAAATCAATAAAATAAAAGTGCAGTTGAAGGCGATTCCCATGACGGCGGCGACGGTATGCGAAAACCACGATATTTCATCGAAAACGTCCATTTCAGGTCTAAAAAAGGTATTATGAAATGGTGAAAAAATCTGAGGAGGAGGTTTGTAGCTTCGCTATCTAATTATTTATAGAAGTCTCAAAGAGAATTGTGACGTAGGTATTGAAGTATGGTTAAAAGATATATTAGGAATAGCAATTTCGAGCCTGTTTATACATATTTGAATGCTTGAGCAAGTCTTCTACATGAAATACGATGAAACAAAAAATACGATTAAGACTAGCTTTTTTCTAAAAAGCGTGGAATCGTTTGCTAATTTTTCACGCTTTGAATTCTGGTTAAAAAAATTCGAAAGAGTTGCTGTAGAAAGCAAAAAACGTTCAGTCGAGAATCTGGTTTTTAAAGGAAATAAAGTAAGGGCTTCTGGTTTCCTCTCAGACACGCCTGAGCTTTCCCACACCCTTAGAAGGAAATAACCGCAATACGATTGTTATTTCCCAGAAGGTAATGTGAACTGCGATGATTGAACCGAAAACCAATGATGTTTCATGATTAATTTTTTTTTATTCATTGAAACACAAATTCATTTTCTCATAATCATCTTGACATGAAAAAAATCTCAAAGAACGTTGTGAGATCAAAAAAAAAAGAAACATCAGCAAACAAAAGGATGGGGTATATGGGAACTATGTAGACGGAAAAATTCCACAACTAATGAGTTTGGCTTTCAAAAAACACGTCTTGCGTAAATTCAAGACATGTCTTTCTCATCAGCTTTTCACTATTTTGACAATTTATCAATGAAAAGCGACCTGCTGAGTAAGCTTCTTCACAAGTTCGATGTTTATGAAATCTTATTTCCGGCGCGCTCCCAGAAAGGATACAAATTACTACTCCTAACAATAAACATCAAGAGAACGAGTCAGCAGCTCAGAAATGAAATCTTAGGAATGCCAGAGTGGTCCCATAGGGACTCTTGTAGGCTTCCTTCTAGGGGCCACCTTACCTCCCTTTATAAGGGCACGAGCTCACTTTAGGGTGACTTTCAAATCAGAAAAATGAATTAAAAGATCACAACAGGGAACTGAACACGTTCTCTAAGATTTTCGAAAATACATAGAAGGGCAGATTTCCCTAACCCTGCAGTGACCACTCTGGCATTCCTAAGATATCTTTTTATATGTCATAAGAAAGTTTTGGTTTTATTTCTGATATCTGTGTTGGGTTTTGGACAGGTTGTCGTGATGGATTCAATCTTGGTCACCGGCTCCGGTCTGGTCTTTTTATGGGAACCACAAATCGTCCTGACCCACTCTTGAAGCCCATTTCTGGAAAAAGGCCATTTCTGCCTTGTCTTTTCAAATTAAAAACCTGTATGGCTGAACGTAATACATGGAAAGAATTGGAGAAAACACCGGGGGGAGCATAGAAGGCATCAAGATATAGTTTTCCACTGCCGATGAATGCATTTGGAAGACGTACATGAACGAAACACTTTGATCCGAGATGTACATGAGAAAAGGAAGTGAAGCCTGCATCGCCAGAGCCTGTAATAATTTAGAAAGCCTCCAAAGGTCACTCAGCAAACCTTCATCAAAGTCCTGTGAACTCGTTTCGTCACTGGACTCAATGATATATCCGCCTTTTTCAAGATCGATTGCGCCTCTCGTCTCATAACAATCACTGCGAAACAGCCAACAGTTGTCAGGAAGCCCAGAAAACCGGCAATAACTGTAGTATGAACAAGTTTGAGGCTTTCCAATCGCTCTAAAGAGCATACTTGCAGTAGGTATCGTGAAGAAGGATTTGATGATGACGTGAGCAACTTTGTTCCATTCAACATCGCTTCTTAGCTGTTTCAAAGTTTCGATTTTACCGGAATCTGTTTCGCGAGCATAGAAAAAAGTACACTGAAACATGTCCTTCCATTTTGGGAAAGAAACTGAAGAAAAAAACTAACCACCATGACGAAAGAAGGAATATAGCCGAATACTATGAAAAGCCAAATAGTTTTTCTACTTGGTGACGGATTCTTCAACACGAAAATGCGATATTTGAAAGAAATGATGGTGAGTATAATACAGTGAGTCATGCTATGCAACATGAGCGATTGAGCTGGAAGACTACAATTTGAGGAAATGTTGCATTGAAGTTGTTAGGCTACCAAAAAAGCAAAATTCAGAACCAATATATTTGCAAGGGCCGTGGAAGACGCAGCCTAAGCTATCGTGAATCAAGACCGGCCTGAAATTTCCTTTAAACTTCATTATACCGACTCTCAAAAACCTTGTCATCACTCCTCCCAGTGAAGCTGAGCAAATCAAGTCGGTGATTGCGACATTAATGAGAAGGATCCTGAAATGTACTCTAACCTTTTATAGCTCGATACACGATTCTTTTTGTAGAACTTTCTAGGCTTATGTTGTTTGGTCAAGCGTTTTTTCACGACTCATAATCAAGCCATTGGCGTGGGAAAACGTTTTGATAAGCTTTATAATTTTCAAGCAAAGTAAACTGTAGGTGAAATAGTGATCAACGAACCAATAAGGTTTCAAAAATCGTGTTGTCCTGGTGCAAATTAATAGAATGAAGACGCAGTTGAAGGCGATTCCCATAACGGCCGCGACAGCGTGTGAATACCAGGAAATCTCGTCAAAAATATCCATTTGTTTCTGTTAAAACGGACGTTACCAGATCAAATACTCATCTATATAGTTAAGAAAAATTAGACTTACCGGATAATTATTTTTCTTCGCGGCGACTTGAGTCAACTTTCAAAGGATTAAAAAACTCTCACGAATTCGACTTTTTCACAGGCTCCTAGAATGATAGTTTTTAAAGGCTTGAAGTTTTTACTCACTTGCGAATTCGAATATTTTCCTGAATAGTTGGTTAGAATACAGCTAATTGAAGATTTTATCCGTCTTTCAGTTGAAAGACAAAAAAGGGGCCAACAATATTGATGAAGATGGGACAAAACAAAATTTCTACAAGGTAATGAAGCAACCGGGCGGCCTCGTTTTTTGGGTGACTAATTGTTTTTTTGAATAATGCAAAATAAAATTCAGTCCGCTTGAACGAGCTTTTGTGGAAAACAAAGATAATGTCTGGGGATGTTAAGTTTGACTCTGCAAAAAGTTTAAAAATTGAATGCATTTTTATTCATCTATGAAGTTGGCAAGAAAAAAAGTTTATTCACGCCCATCTTTCAGACGACGCAGCACCCCTGCTATGGCTTGAAGTTGTCACAGTAGCCGTTTTGGTATTTAGCACCTTCAATTTCGTCGCGATACCGCAACACTTTTTTATGAATTCTTCCAATCCAATCCTCAAACGCACTTCATCCCTATTGAAACTTCAAAAATCACAAACCGATACGGTTGAACGTAGTAGATTGACATTATCGGGGACAACGCCGGCGGGAACATTGAGAAAAGACAAATGGCGTTTTCTAGAACTGATGAACGAATTTGAAGCAACAACATTGATGAAAAAACCATATCCGAGAAGTAGAGGATAAATGGAAGCGAGGCTTGCATCGCCAGAGCCTAAAAGTTCAATTCATAACTCACAAACATGACAGTTGTCCCTATAGGGATGACCATAGAGGTCCTTGAAGTTTCTCCTTTAGAGATCACCTTACCTTGTCCTTCAGGTGCACTTTAGTTCGCGAAAAGGACCACTCTAGGGGTTTCCGTGAATGAGATATAGTGAATGTTTTTTTTTCTCAAACCCCTATGGAGACCATTCTGGCGTTTCTCAATAATATATCCTATCCGTTTAGTAAGATTTCAACAAAGTCCTACCACTATAGAAGGAATTTTTTCCGTCCCCCACAGGAACCATTCTGGCGTTTCTAAGAACAGAACCTATGCGTTTAGCGGACCTTCATCAAAGTCCTATGAACTCTCTTTGTCAGTGGACTCAAAGAAGTGTCCGCTCTTTGGAGGATCAAGTGCGCCTTTCTTCTCATCGATACCACGGAGATACAGCCGAAAGTTGTTATGAAACCCAAATAAACAGCACTACCTGAAGAACCCTTAAATGTAAGATTGTTCCATTCCAGAGATAAATTACTTCCTGTAGTCACTGTGAAAACAGATTTAAAGAAGGCATGGTCAATTTTGGTCCATTCTATATCCTTCCTTAATTCCTTTAATGTTTGGACTATAACTGGGTCTAAGTCGCGAGCTAAGATGAGAGCAGCCTGAAAAATCTCGTTTCTACTCATTTGGTACTGAAAAAGTGTAAGTTTCATTTGAAACATACAGTTTTTTTCCTCAACTGTTAGCTAGACCTTTTTAATGAAATCATTTGAAAACTGACAAACAGTCCGAGAGAGGGAAAATAACAGAGGACTATGATGAGCCAAAGCTTTTTCTTGCACGGCGACGGATGTTTTATAACGAAAAGACGGTAGCCAAAAGAGATTACTGTGAGTGTGATGCCGTGAGTCATGCCATGCATCATGAAGGATTGAGCTGGAAATTGCTTTCAAGACAAAAAATTAGGCGTAGACCTACTCCAAACGCAAAACTGAACGCTGTAGTGCTTACATGGGCCATGGAAGATCCAGGCCAAGTTGTATTTTATCATCAAGACTCTGAACCCACTTATTTCAAGAAATGAAAGTCATACTCACTTTGGCATAACTAGTCCCAGGGATATGGAGCAGAGCAAGTCCGTTAGGGCGACATTGGAGAGAAGAATCCTTAATTGAGCAATTTAAAAGGTTCTTTCCACAATTTCTTATTCCAAAAAGTTGAAGTTTTGAACTTTCGTTGTGTAGTCCCTTTAGATTCTAGGACACGTGTTTTAATTATCACCTTGCTGTTTGATTATCAAGAAAGTTAGTAGCGTGAGAATATTCTCAGCATTTTTCATGCAGAGTAAACTATAGTTGAAGGAACTTCTGTCAACGAACCAATAAGGCTTTCAGAAGTTTCGTTGTTTTAGTGCAAATCAATAGAAATGAAAATGACGTTGAAGACGAATCCCATGACTGCGCCGACAGTGTGGGAATACCATGAGATGTTGTCAAAAATGTCCATCAGGGCTTAA